CGCAGCCCGGTGCTCTGCGCCGCTGAGTCACCGCGGCGAGGCCGCCCCGCCCCCCGGCTTTTCTCTGCCCGTCCCGTCTCCGGCAGGGGACCCCGGCTCTGCCCCCCCGGTCTGCTCCCCGGCTCTGCCCAGGCAGCAGAGCGGACCTACGGACGGGCGCGGCGGAGCCCTGTCGCCGCTGGCAGGGCGCACCGTCACCCAGCCCAGCGCTTGGGTGTGTTTTCCGTTTACATCAGTGTTGTTTGGAACTTGGGATCATTGCCCATCTGAACCTTTCTAACGGGAAGACCTCTGAGGCAGCCTTTAACACCACAGCTCAGTGTTCCACGTACGCCTCTCAATCTGCTTTTCCCTGCCCTTTATCACAGAATTGCTGCGGCCGCTTTATTGACTGCTCGAGAGAGCTCTGTACACATTATCACTCTCAGCTGAAATACCCAGGATTAGCAGAAGGCAGAGTAGCTCCATTTCCAGGCTGGAACACCCTGCCTCACTCTGCAAGTCCACCAACACTGTTCCCGAAACTGTAACATACCATGAGAGAAATAACACTCCAGGCTGGCATTCCACACGTATCAGCTTTCGGCATCACTGCTGTCCTGCAGCTGAGACGAGAAAGGCAAGGCCAAACAGCCCTGGCAGGATTCTTTGGAGTCATATTTCTTTTGCATTGTAAAGCACTAAATGTCACCAGGAATTCCTTATCTGCTGTCTTATCTGGTGGACAGTTAAACCCCTTGCAAGCCCCTCTAAAATTAAACAGCACATTCCCACCCTATCAGGCCTGCAGAACAAAGAGTAGTTAAAGTTTATGGTTTGTTGCTATTTTCAGGTGAGAAATATACTAGATTCCACTGCATTTCTAATTCAGATAAATTTCTTCCTCAATAGGTACAGTTCATGCATACAGAAAGTAAGATAAGGAAGGCAAACGAGTATTCATGAAGAGGCTGGACTTTGGAAGGAGGCCCTGAAAGAACCTATTTTATTAGAGCAAATATGAAACTGCATTCAGATATTGTATGAAAAAGCCTGCTTCTAGCTATTGTTAATAATTAACATGCATGAGCCTTCAAGTACCTATTTCAGTCTAAAAGCCCCAACAGCACAAGTCAGTGAAAAAAAAAAAAAAAAGACTAATTCAGGACTAATTTATAAACTTGGTGTTTTCAGTCTCCTACAGACTAATTCTATGATCAGCACATAATGCAATATTGCTTTCAGGCAGAATCAAGGCACAAGAAATGGAAATTTAGTTTTACTTCCAGGTATGTGTCAGATTACTTGGTCTACACTGGGCCCTCCCTAGGCTCTCCCTCTTTTTCCTTAATGAATGTTTTAAAACTTCATCTGTTAGTTCTCAAAATCTTTTGTAACAGTGGCCTTAGGATGTCTGGTTAATGCTCCTAAAATGCTGTTGAGTAACACTATGGACACATTAAATATATAACTGATTTGTTTTAGAACAACAGTAGAGAACATTGATGGCTAGCAGAAGAGCCTACATCTGGAAAGCAACAATGCTTGCAACATTATTCACTGTTACTGATCACTTTACATAATTACCACAACACAAACAATTTTTAAATCAATTTGGCAAACTGGAGAGGGCAGCAACATTATATGTCTTATTTTAAACATCTATTGTTTTCTAATCTAAACTTGTCTGTCTTTCCTTAACCTAAACTGAAAAAAAAAAAAAAAAGTTTGCAGTTCAGGAACTGTTTAGAATACTTTAATTGTTCATGGCTCTGTTTATCCTATCAGCAGCAAAGCAATCTCCACTGGTCACCTCCCTCGGTAAAAAGCATGAATACTGTCTTTGTTCTACAACTGCCAGCAGTACAATTTACATAAAAGACAGTTTGGGAGAGAGATGGATGTAACTCCACACAACTTAAATCTTTATACAGGAATTTAAAAAAATCTCAATAGTAAAACGGACTGGAAGATGTTTGATTGGTTACAATTATAAACAGTGGTATGGAATATATTTAAAACACCATTCTCTAAAGAGCCACATGAAGCAGTTTGCCCCACATCTCTCCTTGTCCTGCCAATGACATTAGCAGTTGGGCAAAGCTAATTTCTCCCTGATAGGCTTTGATTCTGCACCTCCCATGCTTCCTTTACAATTTTGAATGTTCTTCCAGGTTTTCTGGCAAACCTCTGCCTTCCTTCCCAGGACTTCCACATATTACAAAGCTGGTTAGCACAATCGTGGAGTTCAACCACTAACCAGAAGTTAAAATAAACACAAACCTTCCTGTAAATCCCCTTTCTTTTATTCTAGTACCTCCTCTTCAGGACAGGTCTTTATCCCATTTATTGAAGTTGCCAAAAGACACTGGGAATTTTAAGGAAATAAGATGTAATGATTTTATCACATGGATCAATCCGCAAAGAGGTAACGTTTTCTTACAAATTACCCACAAGTGGAAAAGAAAATTTACAAACACCAGACAGGAACTTTTAGGTGAGATTAACAGTTGGTGAAAATTCTGGTATACCTAAAAAGCCCAACACATCCCAATTTATGTGCTAAGCTTGGGCAGCCAGTAAAGCCATGAAATGGCAACTTATCCTTCCAAAATATTCTGCATGTTCTCTTTCACCAACAATGGAGCAACTGCATTGTGGGAAAAAGTACTGCCCATAACAGAGTGGTTCGTATTAATACTATCTGTGCATAGTCTATATTTAATGATTGTCCTTCAGCTATTTCTTTTGGAAGAGGTGAAGCAAGAAACTATTGACATGATGTCAGGTGTGAAACTATACAACAAAATTCCACAAGTTACGGAAGTAAAAAATCAGTACAGAAGTGTTACTTGTCTTGGGCAATAAGCAGTCTGACATTAAAATCAGAGATCGTTCTGTGTCTCCATAGTACAAGTGTGATGGCTCATGGGAGTCCTTGCCCCCTACTCAGAATTTGATGCAAGTATTAAAGCAAAAAATGAGTCATGTCCTATGATTCATTTTGCACATCGAGATAAAACTCATTCTAACTTGCTGACTCTATTTATCTTCGCAAAGATTAAATCCATTTGTTACTCAGATACCTAAACCCAGGAAATAGTTTGCATAAATAGCAGTAGTGTTACAGATGTAAACTGTGAAAGCTGAACTGCTCTCACAAAATTCATGTCAATTGGCCACTGGCCACACTTGGGACAGAATCTTTCCAAGATGTGTTTTAAGAAACAGAAAGAATTCAAAAGTATGCACATATCTGTGGCCTTCACCCTTATCATCAAACTCTTGAATCACACCTTTACATAATGAATTAAGAATTTCACATGCAATTTTATTTTCGTATAAACATTTCTACCAGACGTAAGGGAATGGAAAATGAAACTTCCAGATATGAATCAGATGCATGTCAGTGGTCATACTGCATGCAAATACTTAAAAAAATAATTTTTGGAGAAGTCAATTGGAAAAAATAATTTCATATGGTCAGGCAAAGGAATAACTAGGTATACTTGATTCAAATATCAAGTCATGAACTTCTACACAAACTTGTTTAAATTACTATCTAAAATTGTAGGAGATTGAGCTAAGTATTATAAAAGTAACTACGTAAAAATACATTATTTCCATATGCTATAAGTTATCTTCACTGCTTTTCTAAATTCAGAACAGCAAAAACATATTCTATTTTTACCTTCCTGTACTTTTTTGAAAACACATGCTTTACTGTTATATTCATGAGGTCTGGGAGTCATTGTATTTACCTCATTCAGTAGAGCTGAAATTTATATTGATTGCAAAACATACACACAGTATGAACAATTAACCAAGAGTTACTTCCATCGAAACATCTCTCTGTTTAGTAGTGAGAAATAGCAGGTAACAATGCTTGTACTCTAAATGCAAATACTGGGCAAGAACACTTTACAGTTAGTTTTTCAATGACAAAAATCAATCCTTATCTGTCAAGCTAGCTAGAGAATCACGCCAAACTAACCACAGCATCAGAGAAACCAAAAAGAAAAATATTGTGCACTGAACATCTTTTCATAAAATCCGCAAGACTGTGGTACAATTTTTCCCTCATGCATTAGTCAACAATTTGGTCCTTCCATAGGAAGGCAGCTAAAACCTGCAAGCTGTAATATTACAACAGTGCAACTGCTGAAGTATTGCTGTTCATGATTTCTTTTAAATGTTTCTGTTGTAAGATCTGGAGCATATAGTTTATTTCCTTCACATATTTAAAAGCCTAATGAAGACAGCTTCATCAGGCTAAGAATAATACTTGATTCTAAGAAATTTCTCCATCAGCACAGTACCAGGGGGAGACTTGCTGTATCATGGTGATAAGACAATCTAAAACCACTGAAAAAATGTAGTAAAATAAAATTAGTGCAAATGTTTATGAACTTAATTTTGCTCAGCTCAAAAAAAAAGTGTTTTTAATCTCTGAAGAACAAAAAGGTAGAGAAAGAGAAATGCACAGCAACAGAATTAAATGTTTGCAAGATATTGCTTGCTGTACAGCTTCAGCTTCACATACTAGCTTTTCCAGTTCCATATCATGCTCAGAGCCACAAAAATGTCTAAGTAATTAAGTTTAGCTAAAAAAAAAATTCTGAGGTGAAAAACACTACAATTTAGAATTTGGAGAATAGCAAGTTCTGCAATACTAAGAAAAAAAACTGTCATTACATGCACTATGACATATTAAATGTGACTATGATGTATTACAATAGCCATAAATTTTGAGGCAATACATTCACAGTACCATAATTTATGTCAATGTAACTGACAGGCATTTCTTGTTTTGGGTGAATGTTTCACCAAGAACAGTTCAGCATTTGTGTGCTGGTCAGAAGTCACCAGGTGGTCAGTCCTTACATGCAAACAAGTCTATAGAAACCAAAAATTCATGACTTCTGCAGGAAGAAAGCAAGAAATGAAGTGACAGACGTGGGTGACCTCAACCATGTGTACTGCACAGATTCAAAGAGCACAAAGAAATCCAAAGACTGAGCAATGGAGAAAAAATATATTATTTTCATTTTTGTTGCACAATATATTGATGCCAAGAAAAACAACAGAATTAAGCTCAGGTACTTCAGCCTAAGAAAGAGCTTGGCGTGAAGTTAAGTCTTTAAACTTCCATGAGGTAGAACACAATCAAGTATCTTCTTTTCCAGAATATATTAAGGTGGACAAATCCAATTTAGTTTTTAAAGCTGTTGAAAACTCTTTTGATAGTAGTTCATGAAGAGACACTCTGTCATGAGAATACACCCAATTCCGTCCAGTCCAGTCATAACGCTTGGGCCCACTAGAAAAAAAAACACAACAGAACATCACACTCTGTGTAAGTACACATTATTTCAGGAGACCTGCTGGAAGCCTGTATGCATACTGTATGCCACAGAGTGCCCAGGAAAACGAACAGACAGCATGGAGAACGGCTGGTGGGCAGTCTGAGGAAGTGGAGCAGAAAAGGCCTGATATGTCAGGAACTACTGAGCCATCAAACAGATATATCTGAAAGGTGACAAGATACATCAGTCACTCCTAGGGGAGACAAGCACTTTCCCTTCCTGCTTTTGGCACTGATTTCCCCACAATTCCTTCCTTTATCCCAGTATTCCCTCACAGATATAATTTTCTTGCACACAAATATCACAACAGATATTTGTATAATGCTGAATTAATGCCACTGATTAGTTCTTGCAAATATTCTAAGCACAGCAAAGCACAGATAATTTCCTTTTAGATGCAACAAAATAATTTAGCCCCTGAAAGCAAATATATTGGCATGTGGGAGATTTATAACTAAAATGCTATTTTTCTCTTTTTGTGCTATTATATTGTAACTGGCTTGGTTTTTCCAGGCCTACATTAAGTATCAAGAAAGAAACTTGAACACCTGGGTTCTACTCTGGACCTTGCTATCCACCCAGTTTTCCACAAGTCAAGTGGGAGAATGACTGAAAGGTACTCACTGCTGTTAACATTAGATGAGCAAAGAAAACAGAAAGGAATTAAATTATCATCTGGGATAAATGGAGAAACCCTTGATTTTTTAGGACATATACCTTGGAACTCAGTCAACACTCAAAGTCTGCTAGAAAACAGACTATCCTGTACATACATAAGAACAATCTGCAGGTTGTCTCTCTACAAGCATAAGCACTGATCTGAAACTTGACTATCCTGAGTTACTCACAACAGTCAAATGAAGAACTTTCCAACCACTGCTCAGTGTGTGAGAAGTTACAAAGGCAAGCACAAATCCAAGTCACTTTCACTGAAATCTCACTGTCTGTATCAGAAGTAGTAGCTGCTTAAATCAGTGTTATGTGCTCCAGTTATTTTACTAAGTATTTCTCACTTCTCTCACTTCACCTCTGCAGCACAAGATTATGTTTATACTCTCCTGCACCTAGAGAACGATGGAATGGGATTCTGTCATTCATGAAAATCAGGTTAAGACAGACATTTAATCAATGACAAAGAAATATGTATATTATCTGAACTGGTTTTTAATGTTATGCAGTAAATATCAGTGATAAGGTTAGCACATAAAAAACACCTTCATAGTTCTATGAATCTCCAAAAGACTGACAAATGTGACTTCCAAATTAACAGCTGAAGCAAAGATCCGGTGAATTCTATTAAATCCCTACCAAGTTAATTATATATTAAGTGTATTTCTCATAGAAAGTCTGCATATATGTTTCAACCATAAGAGAAAAGAATTAAAATATTGCATTAAGGTATTGCTAATATTCTGTAAGGTTGAAAAGTCTTTTCAGTCAGGAGCTACATTAAATTACTGCAATCACACTGCTGGCAGGTTGCACGCATCCCCTCATGCCCCTTTTTTTATAAGTGTCAACTAAGTAAAGTTTTCACTCAGGTGTACACATACTAAATAGCAAACAGATGGCCAAAAAAAAAATTCCAAGAAAAACGTGCCACATCTTGACAAATTTGTCTCCCTTGGGATATAAGACTACAGGTCAACGTTTAGTGTAAAAATGCTCCAAACCAGTCAATGCAAGCAATTACTGGCAGCAACATTTCCTTCTTTCAATTCCCACCATATTGCAGTTACAAAGATGACAGTTCAGATCATACAGTATTTGCTGGAGTTGCCTTTCAGAAGTTAGGAAATAAGAGAACACATAGCACCATGTTCCAGGAAATACCACTGTTTATCTAATACCAGTTAAGGGAGTATAAAAAGGAAAATTTTTTTTTTTTTCCTCCAACTCTATATTCTGGCACATGTATGTCTTAGCTCGCCTGGAGCTAAACAGGTAGGAATTATCTGAACTTGGTTTTTATAAAGATATGAAAACTGTGTTTCAGTGACGCAAAAATGTTATAAGCTAGTTCCTTCACCATTAACACTTATCAGCTCCCTGGGTTCTTTTCCAGGGATAGTGGCAAAGAATACAGATTTTGAGGGGGGACAGCTACAGCATTTTCCCACTTATCTGGCTGCCCTCCTTGCTGAAACCAACCACAAAACCTGAAATGGATCAAAATACATCAAAAGGAAAGGCAGAGAAAGCAGCTAGCTCAGGCTCCTGTGAAGTGCAGAGGCTTGACAAAAACAACCAGTGTGGGCATACATAAACATATAAAGCAGGAAATCCCACAAGCTTAAAAGGGAAGGAGACACCCTGTTTAAAACACAAAGAGAGGTTTAGATGATGACATCATCGCTCTTTTTCCAACAGAAGCTTTGTTTGTTTCTTTTTAATCATTGCTGGTTATATTTCCTATGAGTAAGCTATATTCCTGTAGGCAGTGGTTTTGGGCTGAAACAATGTATGAAAATTCTTTTTTACATATTTCCTGTATTAATTTAGGTGTGCCAGTAATACTGCAGCGTGCCCCGAAACCCTATACCAAACCATTATTTAACATTTAGATTACATCACATTTTGAGACTATGCAGAGTAGAAGGGTTACTTATGAAAAAGATATTACATGATCGTGCCATGCTATAAATAAAAGTACGTTTCCACCCAGTCTGCAGATATTACGTAACTAACTTACCTAGTGGGTGAGGACAGCCAAATCTGCCGGTTTGGTGTTTGCTTATTGATTACGTATGTTCCCATGTCTCCACCCAATTTAACTGTTAGTACTCCACTCTTAAAAGACAAAGAAAGTGAGAAATACAAAATTTGTATCGTGTTACTTTGACAACAGTTACTTCATCTGCATTGGCAGAAACTTACATACCTGTATCAGATTCTCAGCCTTCTCCCAGACAATAATAGTTAGGAGAATGCTCATTACACCTAGCATATCTTTGAGTCTGACCTAGACTTTAAAACTTCTGGCCAGAGTTTGATTTTTAGTGTGTTTGTGTCATTCACAATGTTCGTACTTAAATAATACTCTTGAGCTTGGACTGGCATCCTGAAAAGACCAGACCATTGCAATTCATTTTGCAATGATTAAAACATCATCCAATAAAAACTTTTCTATACTAATGAACAGTGTAGAACTGGTGTGGTTCAAAGTCAAGAAGCTTTATGTGTCACTGCCAGATTTCTGAAACATGCAATTTTACCTTACTTTTCTTCAGTTTTCCTTGATAAATTCTGATTCATATCTGAAAAAATGTTCCAGTTCTAAATCCCATTATTCTGGTTTTTCATGAGTCTGGTTTTGCTTTGGTTATGCCACCTTTAGACCATTATCCTGGTGAACATTTATTTTCTCTTTCTTGCTCACATTTCTTACTGACATGATTCATGTTTCTTGTAATGGAGAAAAATATTTTCTCTTCTGACTTTAAGAGGGAAAAAACAACAATATTTGGACTGGAGTTGATCTGAATGATACTAATTAAAAAGGGAAATATTTCTACAGAGTGTAACGTGATGATTCAGATAATAATTTATTTAGTTTGCAGCATCTCAAATACTTTAAGCCCTATAGCACAACAAAGCTTCTTTAAGGGTATCATACCTTTCATGCTTTAATCAGAAGATATTTCTAGAGCTACCTGTCATTGCCCGGGCTATTTGCTATGTATAAACACTCACTATGAGGAAAAATACTTTCAGGTATGAGTACCTACTGCCTGCCAACATACTCTGTACCACAAGCAGCAACTCAAAGCCTCCTTCCCTTACCAAGTAACTCAGGGGAACATATCTCAAGTATTACTAGGCATAAAATAATATCCTCAGGATCTGATTTTTTACCTTGGTTTCCATGCTGTTTCTGTGCTTAAGGTATTTATATCTGTGATGAAAACAATAAAAATAAAAGGGCCTTCTGGTTAAAAGTCCCATCAGGTTTGTCCTGCCAGTTATTTCTATTGGACATTAGTACAGTGCACAGAAGTGCAAGAACAAGCTACCTCTCTGGCTGTCAGAATTTCAAGTTTTCCATATCTCATGGTCTTGGAATTTTAGAGATACAGCAGCATAAGAACGGGACGGAGGATTAGGCCTGCATAATGATATACAGATTCTGTATATAGCATTCTTCTATGTGGTTTGTAATGCCATACTAAATATTCAGCATGATGTTATGCTACATGTTTCTACAGACACACTATAAGTACATAGGTTTCCAAAGCGTTAACAAAAAAATTACACTATTATTTATACCACGTGTCAGCTATTAGAAAGTACTGTTGCTCTATCCTTACAAAGTAAATAGAGGTTAACCTCTACTGCTGTGTTGAAAACACTTTCTCATACATTTTACAGTACTTCTGAAATACTAGAATATACGACTTGAATTTTTTAAAGAACTTAAATTGCAAGATACTTTTAGCACATTTTAAGAAATATTGCTGTATGTGTTTTGTACTACCGGATGAATGTTTGCTACTTCCTGGTAACAAAAATATTCTTCTAAAGAGATTTTTTTTTTCCTGAGCACGAAAATATAAATTGCTCAAAGCAATCACATTTACAACAGGCACAGCAGATCTTTATCACATTCGCCACCTTGTGGTTTCCTGCAGCACTGACAGGGTTTGTTTAGAATTAAAACTTGGGCTGTTTAACCTTCTGCTTTCAACAGAAATTACAGCATATTATTAATTGTCATCATCCTGTCTATATAGTACAGGACCATTGGTAAAAATTAAGATGTAAAAGTACTACCTCTTGAGCTTCACAAGTCAATGTCAAACATAATCCACCATACAGCAGATGGAGAAAAAAAATATGACTTATCAGCTTAACACAATGAAGTGTTTAGGAATACTAAAAAGGTAAATTTCAACCATTGCTTATTTTTGTACTAGGATAGTTACATCAGGTTAATAGGTGCTGATTTCCTAAAACATACTGAAGAGTAATGTTTAAACAATGCTTTTACCAGAAAAGCAATTAGCTGCAACATTATTTATATACTTAATTAAAGCAACAAGTAGTATTTGCTAAACAGAAAGCTACTGGCAATATGTCATTTTATATCCTAGAAATACAGAATGAAAATTATGATGACAAAGCTACACATAAGGACGTCCAAAAACTACAGACTTTTGATTTGGTTTTGTATTTTGCACAGTGAAACCCAACCATCAGATTCAACATCCTGGAGTACAAAACCTTAACTGACAGTGCCAGTAGAAAGCAAATTTGTTGTGGCAAGACATAAAGAAGGAGCAATAGTAATGTGACCTTAAAAAACTGCGGTATTGAAAAACCTGTGTAGCAGACAGTAGAGTAGGGAGAAACAGCACTCTTCTCCAAGTCATGTTTAGGGCTGTAACACATAGCTTACTTCAGGAACTGAAATTATATAAAAACTACTAAATTCTCTATGCAATTAACACAGACATTTTTGTTCTAAGTCTGTCACTCCTGTATTTGAGCGACTGACTTCTGAAGGCTCCAGCCATCCAATGTCTCCTGTGACAGTAGCCCCCTCCCCGTGTACACTCCCATCTCACTTCTGCAACACCTATCCAAACATGGCACTCTCCTGCTGCTTCTCTCCACCGCAGGCTGTCATCACTAAAGCCAGGACAAACATACACTACCTGCTCAATACAAATGCTGCTTGTCTGTACTCACGGCAACCAGAGAAACTGCTCTAACAGTTACATGTGACGCACTATGCCATGTAGTACACCAGAAGGGAACTGATTGCTATGCCAGATATCTGTGCCTGTTTAGGAAAATTTATAGATCAGTGTGAAATTAGAAAACAGTTTCCATCTCCTCTTGTGCTCGTTTATTATTCTCTATTATGTTTTTCTCTAAACATTTTGAAAACTTTAAAAATTTTGAATCCCTAAATCACACAATGGTATGTGTTACTTTTCACCAGAATTGTTGCCTCAGCCAGTATACAATAAAGGTGTAAAAATTCATTGTATTTTCAGTGTCAGCATTAAGGTGACTAATTTAAAAATCTCCTTCAAATAATATGAAAAAATCCCCTACAATAATTACTGTGGTAATATAATGTTTAAAACATACCCCTAGAGAGACATCATAATCTTCTGGGGTAAAAGGTTTATCTGCCAAGTCCTCAAAGAAATCTGCTAAGGAGTCCAGTGTTTCTTCAGCCAGCTTCTCATAGGTTGTCTCATCTAAAGAGCTACAAACGACAGAGAAGTCCATAATTAGGAGGAAAAGCATGGAAGACAGCATTTTCCCAATAATAAAAACATACAAAGACCACAACTTTGGATGAAACTGTAACCATAAAATGATCTTATAAAACAAGAAGTTCATTTTTCTTAAGGTGATGTAACTGACAAGCCACCTTATAAATGGAGGTGAAATTTCAAAATTAGTTGCTATTAGAGATCTTTTAACTGGGGAAAAGGTACTCACTTCCTTAGATATACTAACCACATTTAGTAAACAGCATCAGATTTCAAAGCAAGGCATTTTCATAATAGGACTTTGTGTAAATTTTGCTTAGTTTTGAACTCTGCAAATAGAGACAAAAGCATCTCCCATTTAGAAATATATGTCATTTGACTCTACAAAACTTATTGTAGCTATACGCAGTTTAGAAATGTCAGTATCACATGACATGTTTATGCACAGCATTTGCCTCCTCAACTGGAATTACCCATGAAACCTGGTAATTAGATGTTATTTAAACTGTGCTTATGAACTAACACTTATGAATTACAGACTACTCCAGAGTCTCAAAGCACCCTTGTGGCCATTACATAAGGCTTAAAGCACCTGTGAGACCAATTCTCTTTTTAGTGGAACCAAGTGTAGAACAGTTTAATTAACCAAATGTAATTAAAATACGTAAGCTGTTCCATCTCTATCAGTGCGTAAAAGGGTCTCCCTACCAACAAACACTTCAGGAAAATAATCTCAGTTTTTGCTAATGCTTATAGCAATGAAACAGTTACTATGGGTTGAATATATATCAGCTGGTAATAGAAACTTTTAAAAAAGTTTCTTATCCAGTTACTGAAATATGTTCTATGTCACTTATATGAGGGACACCACAAAATGCCTTGGGCCATGGAGAACAGAAAGCCTTTGGATCAGGCAGGATTCATGTACAGGCTCAGGGTCCACTTCAGGCACTTAAAGGCAAGAGCCATTTCAGACATCTGCCACAATCCTTTACTGTGTCCCCAGCTGCTGCATCAGAAGCTGCACAGCTCCAACCGTTGCTGTGTCACGTTCTCTCAGAACAAGCAGAAATTTCACATCCTCTGGCACGCGTGAAATGGTGCTAGACACCTGCATTTAGGTACACAAGTTATCTGCTAAGCAACTTTGCAAATACACACAAAATGCTTTTAGCTGAAACTTAGTTGTTCTTTACATCACATCAACATTATATTAGTTTGGTAGTATTAGTATGTATACAAGTTATTCTAAACTTTATTTTCTAAACTTTATTATTCTAAACTCTATTTTCATATGAATATCTCAAAATGTATTTTTACCTTGTGTCACTCAGAGTTCCTGCATTTCTCAAATTCATGAACCAAGCAGTCCTGCTCTTCACATCTGAAGAATATTGTAATTGCTGTTTAAAGTAAGCAGAAACAAAATGGAATTAAAATTAAAACGTAATGAATTACAAACTACATACTTATCATATAAATTAAACAGCTCCTTTAAGTCCTTTCCATCCTCATGGAAAATGTTCATATTCTATATCGCAGGGCTAATACGGAAGGAGTTATGCAGCTTTACTCTTTGTATAATTGAAGCAATCTAGAATTATCGTTGTCTTCATTATGCAAGCTAATGGAATAAAGCCCCACACCCCCTCATTCACAGAAGAATGAATTAGGAAAGGAGAACTATTCTAACTTTTCTATTGCTTTACCACAGAATTACTGAGCGGCTTCAGACTATTAAATGGCTTAGGCTCAGAGTTTCCTAAGTATCCACTACTCAAATGCTGCACTACCAACTGAAGTCAGGAACGTATTAAGCTGAAACAAACACAAACCCTGAATCTTCCTTATGTACAAAGGGCCAAAAAACACTTTCAGATTCCAGATTTCTAAATTACGGAAAAGCTGTATCCCCAGACCAAACACAGTAGCAGAAGTATTCATGTTATCCAGCAGGAGAGGAACATGGCATGATTTTAGTTTTCTTCCTAACTGGCGCTGACCTTTCGGTTTAATGGCAGAACAGCATTCATGATTGCTTTCTGTGTACTCATGCAAGGTTCTGAAAACTTCAGACGGAGTTGAAAAGCAAGTGACATTTGCAAAGGAGCTATGTCAGCCTCTCTTCAAGCACGGAAGAGCAAAACACAGGCCGATCTCTCTCCATGCGGAGTACCACCTATCCGTAGGTATTGCCAGTGAGCTGCCTGCTAGTCCAAAACCGCGACACAGGCAAAAAGGAGAGAAGGGCGGCACAACGGTACAGGCCGACAAAATACACCACGCTGCCTATATGTTTGACCGAACCCCTTACCCTACAGCATTTTATACACGCTTAGAATGAAAAGCTACAACACCACGAGCACGTTCACGCTCTGTCCAGGCTGAGAGGCTCTAATTCCATCAATGTGTACCCATATTCCGTTTGTGACTGGAGGCTGCCAACAGCGGTGCCAGCACGCAGCCAGCACCTGCCTCCGCGTACCTCACCCGGTTGAGGGCGGCCAGCACCGCTTCTGCGCCTGCAGAGGGGCAGCAGTCGAATGCACCAGCCGCGGTGTGCGCCAGCTCCCGAGGCACGGAGAGAACGAGAAAGGAGAAGGCAGGCGGGAGAGAGGGAAGGAGGGAGGACGCTGCCGGCCGGCTTGCGAGGAGGCCCGGCGGTGGCGCCGGCTGCCGCAGGCTGACACAGACCTGCTCAGAGCCGGCAGCCACCTCGGGAATCCTCGCCCGCCGCCCTTCCCTCCTTCCCTCCCTCCCCTCCCGCCGCCCCAGCCGGCGCTCGCGCCCCCCCGCGGCGGCGCGAGGAGAGCGCGGGGGCCGCGCGGGGCGGGCCTTGAGGGCTCGTTCGACCGCGCGGCAGAGCCGAGCCGAGCTGAGGGAGAACGTGCGGGTCTTGTCTTCTTCCCAGCCACTGCTGGCTCCAGCCTCAGCAGCGCCAGGATAAATCAAATCCAAGTGCTTTGCTTCCGAGACTGCACAGGTGTATCGGAGCCGAGCACGGTCTGTCCGCCCGCCGAGGCTTCCGAGGCGGCGGCGGTTTCCCCGCCAGCCTTATCTCGGCCTCCTCCCCCCGCCTGTAGCACGGCCTGGCACGGCTGTCCCTAGGAAACGAGTGCTGGGCCCGGTGTGCTGCTCAGGCTCCCGTCGGCGAGATCTCGACCCCGACGTATCCCAGAGACAAGGAGCTCGGCGGCCATTCAAGGCGGCTGCCCGCGCCGAGCGCCTTCAGCGCGGCGCTGCTCTCGGCGCGGGCAGTGACCGCTGCGGGCGAGTGTCTGCCCGCACCCGCTCAGGCAGAGCGGCCTCGCTGAGGAGATATACACGGAGCTGGCGCCTGGGAAAAATAACAGTTAGAAGCCACACTACGCACCAAGCATTCACGCAGGGACCCGGTCGAGGACTATTTTGGGTGACAGGAATATTCTGATCTACGTCCTGCAAGTAAAATGTTTCCCTGAGCCAGTAAAATAAAACACATAATTTATCACACCTGACATTTTCCACTAAGTTACATAAGTGCTGGTGATGCCATACTATCAGCAGTGTGTGAAGATGCAGATTCTCAGTCAGACGTGTCATATTGTTACTTAAACTGAAAGACATAAACTAGGTTTGCCAAGTAGAGAGGTAAGAAATAATTTCTATAAAGTTTTTTTTAAAAACCCACACAGTTTCTGTGGGAACACAGACAACTTTTGCTTCAGAGCCTTCCACAGGACAGGACAAAAAGCTTCAGAAGCTTACTGCTTAAGCATGAAAATGCATACTGTGTGATGCATATTTATATTTCAAAAACTCTTAATTGCAGCAAGCAGCTAGTTGCTCTGAGCCACCTGATCTAGTTGAAGATGTCCTTGCTCATGGCAGACGGGTTAGAGTAGGTGACCTTGAAAGGTCCCTTCCAATCCAAGCTGTTCTATTGATTCTGTGATACTCCACTGCATTAGGGAATAAGTTATTAAGTTTCTCACCAAGATCTGTAATTTTGTAATATTTTTCTATAAGCCAAAATTATTTTACTTTACACAAGTTGAAAAAGCTCAAACAAGCCGCTTGCGCAAATTTCAACTGAAATGATGAAGTCTGTTTTACCTAAAAGCTGTTTGTATCAAACCGTTATCTAACAGCCAGCTTCTTGTCCGTTTTCAACAGACTCCTGTGTGTTTCTTTGTTACCAGTGTTCTTCTTAGTTTGTGTTCTTGTTGTATTTTGTGCGGGAGGTTTTAATACATCAAGCAGATTTAAGATGCTCTTTACTTCCTTGAGGAAACAACCCATTCTTAGCCCTGCTGGGAGAAGCTTTTACAGACCGAGATAAGCCTTGTAGAAACAAATAACTTGTATCAGACCACAGAAATCATTGGTAAAGCAAGTGGCTGATTTTTCATACCTTGGTAGTTAAGGGGGAAAACAGCTAGAAGAAAGGAAGAATACCTGTTCTTTTATGTAGTACTTAATCTATTTAAAGATGGTGCTTATTTTTATAGCTTGCCTCTCCTATGAAAAGAACCTCAGATTTTTTTTATATTATCCAACTAATTTCACAGTGATTTTTCTCTAGTCATCCAAGTCATACACAACTCTCAACCGGAAATGTTCATTTTGTATTTTGAAGTTAATGACAAATCAATTAATTCTTGTAGATTAAATATTTTCTCTAGTACTAGCAATTTCACATACCAAATTTTTATAAATGTAACAACAGTTACTTCAAATATGAAGTTGAAGGTAGTAAATTTTACAAGATGCTATTACCAAGCAAGGATCAGTCACACAATTTCTAAAGGGCTCAAATTAGGGATTAGCAATTTTAACAATGGTTTCTTAATGTTTTTTCGTCTTGATTCCTGTCCCTTAGAACAACAGGAACAATTAATTAATACTGGGATCAGTATTTTAATGCTGGCATAAAATACCTGTGAAGGAGTTCCAGATGCAGAAGCACTGAAGGGTCATGCCCCACACATTCAGTCTGGGAAGAGCTGATAGATTTTTTTACTTTAAGTAAATATTAAATGTTTCAGCAATGGCTTCTATGAAGAACAGGGGGAGTGTGCTACTGATTGCTCTTGTGTCACTGTCTAGTGGAAGGGTTTGGGAAATACCGTTGAGTTGTATAAAATTTAATTGCCCACGACAGAGGGATTGTATACAAAAGATGTCTCAGTCTCTGAATTGTATGGTATAGACATTCTGGTTTTGGACAGAATTGTTGCAGTTAAGTTGTGAATCCTTTGGGTTCTTCCTATGAACAAATGATTCAGATGCTATAGTCACTAGGTAATTGGGGGGAAATTGTCATGCATGTTCTTTATGAAGGTTAACTGGGTGCTTAAATGTTTGTCCCCAAATGAGACTAATCACAAGTATCTGCTTTGCACAGAGACACATTCTACACTGTCCATAAAGGAGCAGACACTTGACAGAGATGTACAAAATGTTTTACTCATAGGACATGCAGATTGGTTTTGCTTTTCTCAGAGCTGCAGAATAATTATCTTGCTGAGATTAAGCAGTCTAATTTTAAAGCCTAGAAAAGTGGTAATCGTGAGATGCAGGCTGCAAGCAAAGGAAGCCTTAGACTCTGCATACTTAGAAAGCAAAAAACCCCAAACTCCTTTAAATTTCTCCATACTGTGCATAATTAAGGAATTATTCTTCTTATTCATCAGGGTTATAGGATTACATCGAAGTAAAATAAAAAAAACACCATCATCATCCCCCACCAAGCCAAGACAAAAAAAAAAAAAAAATCCACCACAACAAATCCTTAAAGGAAAGATTTTATACAGGTACAAAGAATAATTCTAGGACTTTAAATGCCAAGTTCAGGTTTTGTCAATTTAGCAGGTTTACTACACTTACTCCTAGAAGACATGTTATTACCAATAACTTCAGTAGCTTTCTAAGTGACATCTGTGCAAATTTTTAAATACACCACTGCATTAAAACATGAAATCTTGAACTGATGATCACTGGCATTTGAGATTATCGCCATGTTACTTGGGAAATTAGGGAACCAAAACAGTTTCTGTAGTTACCCTAAAATAATTGCCCATACTGAAAAACCTGAACTGGTTTTATAAAGCAGTGCCTGCTGAGTACGTTCCTTTGGCTTTCCTGCTCTAATTTCAAGATTTCCCTTTTCCTTTTAGAGCTGGTAAAGACAGATGCCATGTTTGTCATATCTCAAGAGGCCTCTTAAGACTGTCCCATGAAGGTAGAGAAATGCAAGAACAATGAAATCCAGTGTAGATCAATAGCAGGATGACAGCAGTGATAGTCTTCAGAATAAAATCTTTTATTCATCAATAAAACTGTAGTTTACAGTAGTATTTTCTAAATAAATTATAGAATTTCTCTTTTACAAGAATTAAAGTAAAATCAAAAATATTTCAAGGACAATATATGTACACAACATAAGGCCTTGTTATAAATAACATTTTTATCTCCTTTTTACCAACAGTGAAACTATCTTTAGAAGCTCATTTTTGTATGGTATGTGCAGAGATTTGCCCTAACCCTCATACAACATCAGTTCCAGTTTCCGCTTATGTGGAACTAAGCAATTAGAACGGAGTGGGTCAGAAAAATGAAATTTATTTTATTCACCACTGTCTTTAAATAGGTAAAGTAGGTAATAGATTTTGCTTGTGCATAGTTACAGAATGCATGCAAATGAAACTACTAGAGAGCTGATAAGAAAATATTTCTTCAGAGTCCAGAAAAGGTGATTGGCAATATTGTAGAAAGCAGCCTGAATACACAGTTCTTCACAGTTGAGCAAGCACACCAGATGACAGCAGAGTGTGGAATGTTTCGTGTCATTTTTGTCAAGTCCATCAATTCTTTCTATGGTTCAAATATCCTGACACTTCTTAGAATTAGTTCTGTTGATTATTACTCTTTGTCTATTAGGCTCAGCAAAGTCCTCCTCCTTAAACAAGGAGTGCAGAAAGTGCTCTTCATTAACCATGGTCACTTCTCTTAGTTTTACTCTTCATGTATTCTTTGTTACTGGAAATACAGAAATGACAAGTTAAGAGTTGTGTTTACTCGTTTTCTTACAGAATTATACACAGGGTAACAACTTTCCTCCCCTAAACAGGCTGCAGCAAAATTTGGCAGTGATTCTCTTATGACCATGAGCCCTGGTCAAAAGCACTGGGTCTCTTGTACAACAGCAAACCCCTAGGGGTTTTGCAGGCATTGCGGTACACTTGTATTACGTGAACTAGAACTACTTGCTGCTGCAAAATGCTGAACACTGTGGATATCAGAGAAACATAACAATCTGAGATCACTCAGCAGTTCACAACAGCTTATTTTTATCTTGCAAAACCGTGGTATTTACTACTTAAAAGTAGCAGTCTTCATATGTCATGAATATCAGTGCTGTCAGCTTCCGCATGATGGTCTTCCCTCAGATGAAAAATCATACCTATAAAAAAACTTTCAGGCACAACTAATGTTCAAGACAATGTAGCAATCACTCAATTTCACAAAAAAGACTAAAACAAAACCAAAAACAACAAAAACCACAACAACAAACCAACAAAAAAACACAAAAAAACCCCCAAACAAACAAACAAAAAAAACCCAAAAAACCAAAAACCAAAAAAAAAAAAAAAACCCAAACCCAAAAAACCCCTGAAATAATTAATAATCTTAACAGATTACAGTTTTCTAAGCTACCCTCATGTCATAGAAACAGCTGGTCACTTCTTGGCATCCCTGGAGAGTTAGAGATGAACTGAAAAGAAACTCTTCTTTACAGAACATTTTGTTATGACAACTCAAACTGAAGTGATAGCTGAAGAATATATTTCAGTAAACTGAATGCATCTCAGCTGACATATCCAAAATGAAGCAAGACACAAAATCAAAACAAAGGCATCTGTAATGACCTTTACTCTAAAACCTCATTAAAACACATTACAAAGATGTAAGGTTCCATTTATTAAACAGATTTTTAATGTCACCTTTACATTATGCTTTTTGATACAAGCACTTAACTAACCTTTAAATAGTTTGACAACAGTCTAAATAAGATGATGAACAAAAAATCTCTGAAGGCATTTAAGTTTATCTCAGATAAAGGTAACTAGTAGATTTAAATCAATATTTTTGTTGTGACTTCTAGCACTAGCCCTTGAACCTTGAGGAATGATATTCCAATATTGTTTTATGAAAACTTTAAACTTCCTACTGTATGGTGCACCAGTGTTAGGGTGTTCATAATCACTGATGCCATTGAGCCCAGTGCCAGTTTCTCAGGTGCTGTTTGCTCGCTCTCTCAGGAACTGTGATCTGGCAAGTAGAGTTGATGGACATATTAGCATCTGAATGTGCTAAGGCAGTAAAGTACTTAGAAAGTTCAGAACAATTTCATATGTGAAGTGAAATCAATGTGATGTAAAGCTAAAAAGAATTTTTAATTAACTTTACTGCTTTTCACTAAGGTGGCTATTGGTATTGCTGATGCTAGTTTTATGGTATTTCATGAATTATACAATGGAATCATGACTAGCTTATTCATGTTCTTGTTTCCTTTCCTCTGACCCTTCCAAAGCATTTCAGTGAAAAATTCCAATAAAAGTTGCATAACAGAGTTGGAGAAAAGAGACCTGACAATAACTTGCAGCAACTGCCAACTGTATGAGTCAATCACAGAAATACTGTTGATGGTACATGTGCTCTTTTAAGAAGATGGGATTTTCAGATGTTCATATTTATGTCAGGTACAGTCCAGTACTGTATTTTTCTGGAAAGAAATCAATCTATTTCAAGGTGCAGGACATGATCCTCTGGGCAACATTGTATCCACTACACAACTTTTGGGGTTTCATTGATTACAGATAAAGGAAACTTTTTTTTTTTTTTTTTTTTTTTTAAATAAAAACTGAGTTTGGCTGTAGCAATTTGGTCCAAAATTATAAATAATGCACAAATGACATTACAGGAATCATTCCTGTAATCATTGCCGTATATGTCTCACACTGTGTATATAATGCAATAATGTATATATTTATGTAATAAAATACAATGTTTGATTTTTATGCAAAGGCAACTAAAATGTTCCTTCTTACATATGTTTCTTCTTCAAGAACAGCTCTGCCAAACTATGTTTGAGTGCTCATTTGTTTTTCACCACCTATCAGGTTTCAATTTTATGGGACACATAGGCCTCGTTTTTTGCTCTTCTTTTTGGGATCATGTATGGATGGATACAGGGAAAACATAGATAAAACAGAGGAAAAGAGCTGTTAACTGTGCTGCATAAAACAAGTTGGTTTGCCCCTTTCAGCCTTAAACAGCCTTCTACTTTGAGGAGAGTTCTTGATTGACTCTACATGCGCACATAACATTTTAAAGATTATTATACTCTCAGGGGAAAGAAAGGATGCCTGTAAGTGAGGAGGTCTTAATTCCTTTCTCATAATTCCAGTATTCAGGTTCAGTCTACCAAGTTTTTCCACCAGTGTCTTCAGAGGAGATGGTGAGGCAGAGAAACTGAAGTTTCTATAAAAAGAGCAACATATCAAAATTTGAGGTATGCTGTGCAGTGTGACTGCACAACTTCTAGATTGTTTTTATATGTATTCTGCCTCGGAATTGCTTTAATTTCAGCTGCATTTTTTATTATTCCACAAAGAACCCTGAAGACAACTACAACATGATTAAAATTGAATTGAAATTATGGGAGAGAGTACAGAAGAAAAGGAGTATTGAAGAGCAAGAAGAGTCAAAGATTTGACAGCTTCTAAACAAGCATTTTATATGCCAATAATTGTTAATCAGCTTGCCTATGCATCTACAGCAGCTTTGAAAGACATAATTAATCTTCAATATTATTTTAAGACTTGAAAATCCTATAATAAAATTGGCATTTGTAAATAAACCACATAATAAGTAATTTTAAATGTAATAGTATAATCTATGCAATCCTTCTGACACAAATCATAGCTACACTAATCAGGCTCTAAATACATTGGGCTTACTCATCACTACAATTATTCCATTATTTTATTTTACTGAAGCCCATATCAATCCATATCTTTAGTAGCAGTGACGTTTAAATATAAATTTTATGAGCCTTTCCTTTAACAACAGGAAGCAATGCTGCATTTTCATGTGAAAACTTCTGTACTACCCAAGAATTCTGCATTGTAGTTAAATATACAGAAGTATTCTGTAAGTAAAAAATAATTCATTAATGAAATCCTATAGGCAGGACATATATTTATTTAAGATCCTATAGACTGGACACATATTTATTTATTTAAAACTTATATTTACCACCAGGTGCCTTAACATATACAGCATCACAGTGGAAAGCATTTAAACATTTTTCACTGTTGTTTACATGCATGTCCTTTTTCTGTTGGAAGTATAAGGGAAATCAAGCCTACTTGAATTAAATCAATTAAATATCTAAGACTTACTACTTACTGATTTTACTGATATTGTAGTACAGTAAATCAGCTATCTTTATAAATAATTTCATGGGAAGGCAAAGAAAACACAGTAGGATAGTTTATAATTGCGTGTGTTGCTTTTTTAGCTAGAGAAAACTCAATTAAAAATTTGATACTTCACTGCAAAACAGAAGGAGTAAGGTGACTTTTATTCCTTACTTTTTAAGTGGAATTATCACTTTTAAGGCATTCCATAGTGATGCTGGACTAAGATCTTCAGGATTGGTCACACTTGTTAAGGAACTTTTGCAATATTGGCCTTCTGTCTTTTACTAATCAAATTCCATAGAACACTGAGACATTGACAACAGCATTTGCTGATGATGTCTGAACTGAAACCAATATTAAGGGCTTCAAGGGAATTTAAAAAAGAGATTAAATTTATTTACAGAGAAATAAGTAAACCCTGTTTTGTGGATTTCTACATCAAAGTGCTAAATGGAAGTGTGTTACCTTCTCTGTTTCTGGCTTATATACAAGAAATCTGTTTATCTCAGACAGAATCTTTTGTTTCCAACTGTCTGATGTGTCATTGTATTACATATTCATAAAAGCAAGAAGACTTTAATGTTTGAAGTCATGCAGAGAAACATTTCAAATTTAGAAGTTTTTCCTGTACCTCCTATCTTCTATTTCTTATTTATTATTAATTTTATTTATTATTTATTCCTTCTATTTGATTGATAATTAAAATTATATGTATTAATCAGTATCATAACTATGTTACTAGAATAATTTGAAATAATTTAGATTGTCTTATACCTAGTGCTCATTGCAGGTGATGCTTAGTTATATTCTAGTCATAAAAGCTAGATTTCTTAAGCTATTATCTGGATTAATAGGTTTATGAGAAAATAAACCAATGTAACTTAAAAGTAAATTTGATTTGAGAATGTACTTAATTAAGCACTTAATGTGCTTCTTAGAGTAGCAAGAGAAAAAATGCTAGTTTGAACTTGGTCTTTTATCAGTATTAAGGAATTATGGGCCCAGACTAGCATTCAGTTGTGGACCCAAGATGTCTCTCTACTTGTGTCCTGGAACAAGAATTCTTGTAACCTGCTGTTACCAGGTACTGTCTCAGTTTTGACATCAGCAGCAGCGTGTGAGTTAGCCTGGAGTTCCCTTAATGTAACACCTCAAATCCAATACTATTACCTGTAAGAGGAATTCTTTTTTTTTTACAACTTTTTTTTTTCTGTTCCACCTCACCTTACTTGACTATCAGAATTTCCACACAAAACTGTTCAGACAATGCCATTTTAAAGCTGCTCTTTATAACAGATTAACACAATGTCATTTTACGACAATTTTTTTTTTCTATGCATGGGACCAAAAATTCACAGTTCTTAGTTTGTCCAAAAGAGTTCGCATTTTACCATTTCAAAACAGGAGGCAAAGACATCAAAGGATTAATGGTGGCCAAAATTAAGCAAGTTAAGGGTTTTTTCATTAAAATATATAGTGGATAAGACTACAGCAGCTTGCCTTGTGGTAGAAACACAAAGATTATTGATCACAGGATTAAAGGAAAATCTGAGAATGCCATTTAAAACTATGTTTTTCTCCTTGCATTTTGCTCTTTTAAAAGTACATCTTGTAACCTTTCATTTATTTGCTTTATTTTTGAGATGTCCATTAGAAATGACTAGCCTGTTCCTAGTGCTCTCAAAAACATGCATCTTTTCCTTCTAACATGCATTTAATCATCCTTCTATAAAAGCAAAATTGCCTTCTGGCCAGCACTTATACTTTAGTATCATCAGGTTTTCCCAGCCACAGGCAAATTGTTATTTCCAGGTCCACTGAAGGATATTAAGGGGCATCAAGGAAGTAACAGATTAGTAGATGGACAGCATACTATTCCTGTTTCTTCCACAAACACCTCCAGATGCATACAGGGTATATGTGAATAAGTTAAAGCTCACTTCCACAACAATCTCAAAACAATTAAGTAGGCATCAGTGCAGAGTGTGGGACATGAGACAGAAGGCAGGAGTAAGTAACTTCTCAAGATGAGTTTGCTTAAGAAGTAACATGTGCTTAGCTGTGGTATCCAATTTCCTTGAAGATGGCATACCTAGGGAGTTAAGCCATTATCTTTATTATTGAGTTTTGAATTTGTTTTTCTTCAAGGTGCAGAGAAAGGGTGCTGCTAGTTCCAAAAAGCATCTGTGATTCTCTCCACTTAAGACCTATTTATTCTTCCAGACCTTTGCTCAGGGGAATAAACACTGGGTATTTGTATGACATCCAAAGTTGGGTTTTAATTATTCTTCTGTTGATATTCATCAGTGGACTACTCATCTACTTGCTGCAGTCTCTGAGACATAATAGTAATGAATGTTCTACAAGGTGAAAACTAACTAAAAAGATGATTATCACACCTGAAACTCATACAGACAGCATTACAAAAGGTGTTACCTGTGCCTGTCACTAGATTTTCAGAGCATTCCACCATCCACCCTACAGACTTCAGATTGAAAAAGAAGTACTTTACAGTGCTAAACAGTATTATTCTTAAAGAAAACTGTTGCTTTATAAACTAAATTCAAAAGCTATGAAGAAGAAATTGTTTCACTCTTTAAAGGGGGCCAAAAGAACCACAGATCAGCACAGGCTAAAGGGACCATAAGAGGCTATCTAATTCAACCTTTTGCAGGAAAAGCAGGCTGGATGAGATTATTGAGCTTCACTGTCCAGCTGTGTCTTGAAAACCTCCTGTGATGGGGACTTTACTGCATATCCATGCAGAAGTTGTTCCAGTGAATCATTAATCATTATAATATCACACTCATTGTAAACAATTTTCCTTGAATCATTCTCATTGTACAAACTATTCTTTCTTACATAGAGCGGAAATCTCCCTCACTACAACTTGTATCCACTGCCTCTAGAGAAATGAGGGTCTCAATACTATCTGTAGTCATGCCTTTAAGTTTTGGAAAACTGTGTTGAGGTCCCTCCTGAAAATTCCTGAAAAAGACCCTAACTTTTGGCTAACTTTTGGACTGAAAAGACCTAACTTTTACAGTCTGTCTTCAAATGTCAAGTTCTCCCCATCCTTGACCACCTTTATGGCACTCCTTTGACCCATCTTCAGTCCGTCCACGTCTGTTTTGGAACTGTGTGGGCCAGAACTGGACACACTACTCCATGTGTGGTCTGACAAGCGCTGGTGAAGTGGGATGGTCACACCTCTCTCTGTTCACAGTGCCCTGTGGATGCATCTCAGGATCCACTCTGCCTCAGTAGTTGCAGCAGTGCACTGCTGACCTGGTGTCTGTGTGCTGTCTGCTGGGAGCCCTGGGCTCCTCTTGGCAAGGCTGTTCCACAGCTCATGGCTCCTAGCCTGGCTGGGCTCCGGTTTTGTGCTCCCAGGTGCAGGATTCTGCACTTCCTTGGTTGAACTTCACACAGTTCTTGTAGCCCAGTCTTCCAGCCTGTTCATATCTCTGAAAGGTGACTCTCCCTGCTGACGAGTCCCCCTCAACACCCAGTTTAGTGACGCAGCAAACGTGGTGAGGGTGCTTTTGGTCCCATCCAGATCATTCATGGAGATGTTACAACATGGAGCCCAGTACTGATCCCTGGGGGGCCCCACTTGGGACAGGCTGCCAGCCTCAGTAAAACACACTGATCACCTATGAGGTGATTCCTGCCCATTTCACAGATCACCGCCATCCAGTCTATATTTGACATTTGTCTACTGTGGGACACATGATACATGTCAAATGCTTTACTGAAATGCAGGCAAGCAACAGCACTGCTTTCTCCATATTGACTGAATATGGTAATTTGTTTTAGAAAGGTGATCAGGTTAGCTTGGCATGATTTGTCTGTGATAAATCTGTGCTGAATTTTCCCAGTCATTTGCTTCATTTAATTGGTAATAGTTCTATGAGGCTTGTTCTGCCACTCTTCTAGGGACTGCAATAAGGATACTAGGTCATCTTTTGGGCCATTCTTACCAACAGGTATGAGATCTGCTCTCTTCCAGTCATCAGGGATACCCCCTGATCACTATGAATTTTCAAAATAATAGGACAGTGGTCCTGCAACACTACCAGCCACTTCTGCTGACACCCTGAGGTATATTCCCTCCTGGACCTTGCATTTATGTGGGTTGAGCCACTACTGGTGGGTCAACACGTGTGTTGTAGCTGCTTGATCCTGGGAGCTACAGTCTGGCTCCAGCCACTCCACTGAACAAGGAGGAAAGAAGGTACTGAGAACCTCTGTCTTGCCAGCATTATCTGTAACTTTGTTCTCTGCTTGGTCTAGTAATGGGCCTGTGTCTTCCCTGGGCTTTTGCTTAACTGCTGCCTTAGTTTGCAACGCAAGATGTAACCAAAAGTATGTATTCTATCACCATCTGTTAAAACCAGGTGGTGCAGTGTTCTTTATCTCTTCCATGACTCATCCCTTATAACTCCCCCGGGAAGGGGTGGGGGTGGATATCTTCTGCTAATGGGCCATCAAGCCTCACTGCACAACTGATAAAATTAGGTCATCCCAACGTGAGATGCTCCACCCAGGGGGAGGAACCAAGCATTCTACATCTAATTGGCCACTGGTACATGCTACTGTTTTGTGTCAGTGGAGGCAGGACAGACAACAACTCCTCGAAGTGTGCTGGACAATTAAATTAGTAGCTATTAATTGCGTACTATACACACTCAAGCACTGCTGACTAAGAAGAAGGAAAAAAACATCAATGGTACAGCCTACAGGAAAAGGGAATATGACAAACATGTTTCATCTTGATGTAAGATCAGAAACAAACATGTTTCATCTGAACACAATAATTTTTTTTTTTTTTCTGGACAGATAATTACTAAAACAGCTTCTGCAAGGATGTGGCAGAGTTCCCATTGCTGGAGGTTTTTAAGCTGTGGTGCAAAACAGTGTTAGATAATCTTATCTAGGCTCCCTTTTGCGCAAGAAATTGGACTGGATGATCTCCTGAGGCTCTGTCAATCTGAGCAGTTTTATGATTCTAAGATAGGATGGATTTCTTAAGACAAAGATCAAGTAACTCTAGGGATAAGAAAAATAAAGAATACAATAAATTTTATCTAGAAAGGAAACAACCATGTATCTGTGAAGCATTTATCAAAAACAAGAACAAACTTCCCTCTCTTGATTCTTCATTTCTGGTACAATTCTTGCCATGAGAGTCAAGGGGAAATATTACTAGAATAAAGTCAGAATTGTTTATGATTTATGAAAATAAACCTTTGGGAAAAAAGGCCAAGCTTAACAGACCTGTCCCCTGCCTTTATACCAACAATTTCAGAACAGCCTAAAAAAATTAGACACAAAAAACTTCACTCAACTGGAACTTGAATTGGGTGCCTACTGCCTTTATATCTGTGGAATGTGAACTATGGGTACCAAGAGAACATTTGAAACACAAGTGATATGAAAACAACATAATATAGACTTGACTTTATGTTTCAGCGGTCAGATAAATTGCTTACTAGGAATTGAAACAGCAAAGAAAAGATACATTTTTAATCAGCTGTCACAATTGGACAGCCCTTAAAATCAGAAGAGGGGGCATTGATATATTTCACACTGAGCTCTATTGGCTTAAAAATCAGTGGCATAAACACAGAACTTTCCAACTTGCGAAATTTTAATTTCTATATTGCGAAGTATTCTGCATGAGGATGAAAAATTTTGTTATTGCTGTTGGTTTGGGTTTTGGTTTTTTCCCTCCAATAGAAAACAACAGAAAAGATCTCCGACCATTAGAGAAAAACGAAAAGGTGTTTTGGCATACTTCATTATTAATTCAATAGTTCATACGCATATAAATTCTTTAGCGACTTGCTTTGGCAAATCATACCTATGCAAACTTATGCATTTTTCGTACAAAAAAATACCTCAATAAACCTCTGAATTGAAGATGAGCAGGTATTTTAGTCACTTATTGAGCCTGAGTCAAAGCAATTACAAGCAAAAAAGTCCATTAGAAACAGTTTGACAACTTACTAAATAGACATCCAAAACTGAAGCATTATCATTTTCCATTTCCAATGTGCTCTGTTCTGAAGTCAAATAGATAGCACTGTCTCCCAAAGTGAATGTTGAGCTTGAAGGTAACCCCTTACTGCAAAGAGAAGGGAGAGCACAGTCAACCAAAAGCCCAAGTTACAAAGCTTAGTCATAACTGAAAATTTAAAAGTAAGTTTCTCTGTTAAACATAAAAATCTTCAAAATACTTGGAAAAAAGGAATGAAATAAATAAATATAGATAGATTGGCAATGGCTAAATAAGTGGAAGCTCATATTTTACTAATTGTACAATTTATTTTTGCATTTACTAAAATTTTACCAGAAAATAATGCTATTCCTGAACTTCAATATTTATTTAATGAATGAAACTATGTCACAGTAAATGTCACATAATTTCATTAATCTCAAAATGCATTACTTCCACATTACAAGTGATGTAAATTTTGGCAGCGTTTTGTAATTTAAAATAGTAAGCAATTAAGCACATTGTAACATTAGTAACATTGGACTTTTCCATGCAGACACAGTTCACTAGCAGCCATAAGTTCAGAAGGAAAAGTGGGAGAGCAATAGTGTATTGTAATTAGTAATCACACCTATGCAAGGAAGTGATTTATTCAGAGCAGGTGCACTCTATTACTTTATTCATTGATTGATTTTTTTGTTCTCTGCCTTACAGAAATAATGTGAAACTGCAAATGCCCCTCCACAGAAATCTCATTTTGTAATGCACTTGGTCAACAAAGCTGAAACTCTCAAAGGTCTTTTAATGGAGTCACATGTCCCTTATCGCATATCTTACTAGCTGCCAGAAATTAGGCTCCAGGCTGCTTTGAAAACTTAACTGTCACTTGTGCAGGGACATATTTTAGAAGTTCTTACCTGTTTACAGACAATGTGAAAAGCAAAAATTCTGAATTATAACTTGGTACAGAAACGTGGTTACAGCCATCACTCCAGATATGACAAATTTTCCCCTTCTTTTGTACTATTTTAAGTATATTTCAGATGGGATAGAACTTCTGAAAGGGTAAAACTAGCATGCACAATTCAACATGCAGAAACTAGCATGTAAAGTTGAGATTCAAATGCTCAACAAAATAATGAATCAATGTCATACTGGAACAGAGCTTTAGATTTACCACATTACAATGTTCCTTTTACCATATAATGCACTTGACATTTTTTGAAAAGCAAGACTTTATCTTGTACTAGGATGACCCAGGTCCCATTGACTTAGCATTATTGTCATATGTGTAACTTGAATTCTGTTGAGTAGTGTAAGAGAGTAAAAACAAAAATCTTGTAATTAATCTCTTAACAGCAATACACATGCCACCAGCAGTTGGTAACTGAAGTTCAAATTTGTTCAATAGCATCATCATAGCTGCATTTATTGCCAATTTCAATGCAGTCTGATTTTAATGAGACTGATAGTGCAAAGCCATACTGGGGGTGGCACAGGAGAGAACAAGTGAAATCCCCACATACACAGTGTTTCAGAAAGAGTAATTCAGAGGAACAGCGTTTTACAGTGCACTGAGTTCTCATCCTTAATTCTTAGGTTGAATAAGAAAAGCCAAGCAAAAAAACCCCAAAAAACAAAACAAAACAAAAAAAACCAAAAACAAACCCAAAAAACCCAAACAAACAAACAAACAAACAAAAAAAAACCCAACAACAACAACAACAAAAAAAAACAAAACCAAAAAACAAAACAAAACAAAAACCCAAAAAAAAACCAAACCCCACAAAAACACCAAAAAAACCCCAAACACTTTTACAGGTACTTTCTCTCATTCAGTAAATGACCAGCCATAAGGAGCTTGCTCAACTTTGCTGTTGCCCTCCTCTGGCTAATACATTCTATTTGATCTTGGTTCTTAATTAAGAAAGAAAAAAAGAAGCAAAAATAATTCCATCATTAGAGAACTGGGAAAGCTTTGTTTAAGCCACAATTACATGTTGTTTCAATCATAGTCAAATTTTCTTTCACATGGGGATACCCCTAGTGTCTCAGTGCATCTCTTCATAGCGTTTCAGCATTCAAGCCTTTTTCTTCCACCCAACTGCTTATTTTCATGAAGCATGTGTGAATTTAGTCCACTTTGAATCAGATTCAGACAAAGTTGTCTAAGCTTCAGAAGCTAACAGTAGTGTGTGGACAGACAGAACACTGAAATTTAACACACAAAAGTTTATGTAGAACACCAACTGGCAAAAGGCGTGCTTAATATTCCTTACAACAGAAATACCTATAAATCCCTGTCACTGGAAAAAAATGGCAGAACAGCATTTCAAAGTCTGGATGCTTCAGGAAGCTTGACTGTGTAAGAGAACAAACCCACAATGCCTCAAAGCCTTCCAAAATTTGAAGTCGTCTCCACCAAGAAACAGCCACACAAAGGTAAGACAAAAAATTGAAAAATATACAGATAAGAAGAAAAAAGAAGAAGGCAGAAGTCCAGACAACATATACGTCCTCCAGAAACGAGGCACAGAAGGCATAAAGAGAAAGAAGAATTAGATTTCATATAGATTTTTTCCCTTAAGCTCAGGTATATCAGAAGAATTCAGCAGCCCTCCTTATATAGCTCACAGTATCTTGGCATTGTTCTGAAGAGGGAGGTGAAGCACCCCTTTATGCATCATGGCATTTTGTTTGGGTTTGGGATTGGAGAGTCCCATGAGACCTGCTGAAAAATATATTGAAAAAATATTTTCTATATGCTTGGGATATTTAAACAAGAATTGTAAAACATCTACAGTTTGAAACATTTTAAAATATTTTAAAGCAAGTTCCAAACATTTCCAGAAGCACCATTGACCTTCTTCAGCTCTTTGCAATTCTAAAAGTCATGTCAAGTGAGACAAGAGTCATAGTGTTTAGGGCATTCAGATTTGTCATCTTAAATTTAAGTCTTCAGTACTAAACAGGAAAACTTTTCCTGGAAGGGGAAAAAATCTGTTATCACTTATAATTCCTAATATGATATGTAAGTATTACATTTCCTAAGACAAAACAAATAAACCCTTTCAAATAATTACATTTCCTAGTGGAAAACAGACCCTTTAGGTACTAAAATATCTCTGCACGAAATATGAACCTACTTGAGGAATGGAAAATATTTGAAAATTTTAATCGAAGCAATAAATTGTCAATTCTGTTCATTTACTAAAGGAATACTTGAGATTGCTTATGACAAAACCACTTGACTGAGAAACAGCTTCATGGAAAAGAAAACAGCTGTCTTCTGGCGTACAAGAAGGCCTACGTTTACTGAATAGCATATGTCAATGATTGTCTTTTTTTTATTTTTCCTTCTGTTTTTTGGTCCAGTCCTTTTTGTGCTGAAAAATACAGCCATTTCCCCCTCTCCACGACTCTTTAATTTGTACTAATTCCTGTTCACACTGTCTGGATAGCCCTTGGGTTTCCTCTAGTTTTTCAACAACTGAGGAATAACTTGGTGAAAATAATCAGCTTGTAGCCTGGAAAAATACTCCTAATAAGCTGTATTTTTATGACTGCTGCTAAGTCTCTCACTTTAATCACAAGTCCCTACCTCTCTGCACTATACACCAATTAGTTATGTTAGTTTTAATGTGTACCAAGACAGCTTTACAAAAGCCTCATCACAAGACACAGCCTCAAGAGCTGGCTCTGCCTCAGCAAGTCACCTCGGTCTGCTTAACCTCAGCAGCAGCAGTCTCTCCCTTTCTACCCACAGGTGCTGAGCACTCTCAAGGAGAGAGGGTGCTGATCACCTTTCTTATGTTATAAGCCATTTTCCTCTCCTTGGGGAAGTATTACATTGGATAACAGAAACAGAGGGTAATCCTGAAGAAAAAACCCAACGCAAATAGAAAATACGGTGTGTGCGTCAAGGTATCCAAAAGTATTATTACTCTCTTTTTAATGAGGAAAATAATACCATCTGTTTTCTAAGTGTATGAACACATACTGCTCATTGGTAGGAGTCAAGAGGATGTACAAATATCACATTATTACTAAGCACATAGGACTCTTCTCCTTTATTACCTTAAACCAGAAATTTCTTACAGGTTACAAGCAAATTAATGTACTCTCTACTTCGTGCTATGTTACTTTGAAGAACAATTAAAAAGCCTGATGAAGAAGATGCCAAACTGTAATTCTAATAAATAACAAACCAGAATGTCATAGTCAATTACATATTTAAAGATTGAAAGGAGGCTCACATTTGTAAACAAATCTTTAATTCAGGCTTTGTTTCAAAGACTGCTCCAAGCTTTCTGTTTATCAGAGACAAACGTTATATCCTGCATCACATAATTTTCTAATATTCAAAAGAAGAACTCTGGCAAGAAAAACTTCAGATCTGAATCTACAATTCAGTGTATCATTGTAGCATGGGTTTTTTTGGTGGGTTTATTTCCCTGCTAGCTTTTATTATGAGAGGACTGAAGTTCCTTCAGTGAACCATAAAAACAAACGTAAAACTTCAAATGTATATTTTTTTTAGTGTCAGGAAGAAGGAATGACCTCTCTGAACTGATGCCAAAAGAAGTGGGCACAAAACAGCAGATTCCCCGAATCTTATGGAAATTAGTTCAATACTGAGCATGCTTTGCAGCTTTCTTAACTCCTAGCCATGACAGGGAAGCAAATCCTCATGAATTGTACATACTGAGATTGTGACACACACCACTATTTAATGACAATTAAAAAGTGCCTCCAGGCCCTAGCTGAAGAAGGTACACCTAGACCAGCAAAGATGGTGGTTGGTAAGCCCCTATGGTAGATCTCTTGGCTACAGTGTAGATGTTCTGGCAGAAGATACGGAGAGAACCACACATCAGTGAATGCTAGTACCAGGTCTGCTGTGTCAGAGAATGTGCCCTCTTGTAAAGATGAAGTCCATACCTGGACTGCAGACACTAACAATCTGATTTTTTAAGATACACATGCTAATCACATAGCTGGCAACTTGTCCTACATTAGAGATTATTTCATTGACTGCATCACTACTGGAAAGTAAATGAGTCTAGATGTGCAATCATAGTAGATCTGCTATTTTGTAGTATGTTTACTGTACAATATAAAACTCATAGGTTTTCTTTACATTTAATTTTTTTAATTATTAAAATTTTTAAATTTTTTTTAAATTTTAACTTTTTAGAAACTAAAGAATATTTGAAATGCTTTAGATCTGAACTCTTTATTCAAACAACTTCACCATTTGATTTTCCTGACTGATGCTGACACAAAGCAGTTCTGTAGTTTTATTTGATACTTAAAGTACTCTATAACTTTATTTCTGTCAAAGAAAAAACTTTGTGAAAGATCATGAATATTGAAGTCCTACAGATAACTTGACACAAGTTGAAGTGAATGAGCTCTTTTTCTACTAATGCTTATTCATCAGTAGTTTTATTTCCTAAAGCTTGTGCAGAAACATTTTTGTTCTGCAATAAAAGCTTCATCTTTATTACACCCCAAAACATGCTTCATTCAATTTTTTATAGCAAACGATCAGACATATGGAAGATGCCACATCAGTAAATTTATTTCAACGTAATGGAAGCTGTAAATATCACTGTCATCAAATAATGCTGCAAGTAATTTTACTTCTTAGGTATATACAGTTGTCAAATATTTAACAGGAGGTAAAAACCTACTGCCTCAAGATTGCTTTTAAAATAACTTGATTTTATGGGCAACATGCAGTTTACAGGAAAGAACTACATCTTGGCACATGAGTGCATTTGTCAAATTTATACATTGAGTAGTTCAGGACTCCAAATTTTTCCAAACAATATTCAAGATGCTTGAATGGTTACCCTTCTTGATGGAAGCAGGCAAAGAAATGGCTCAGTACATAGTAAAGAGATCTGCAAGCAGGCAAGATGGCACAACACAGCACACTTCAGGTTCACAAGGGAGCATACAGGCACATACAATCCCTCAGCAAGACTTTCTGGCTTAAGCATGGTATTGGACTGACACAACTGAAATATATTCAAACACAACTCAAATCACATTTAACCTAGCTCACTAGCATCTGCACAACTTTTCTTAAGACATTCCTGTTTTTACACTTCCTGGATTAAAATCAGACAGGCTCTAAGCACAACTGTGGATAAAGTTTCATAGAAATTTACTTCAGAAAATGGTTGTTATGGAAGAATTTAAAGCAGACCATTCAGTGTACATTCAGTGTACACTCAGAATAAAGAACAATTTTTCCTTTTCCTAGCACATCACCATTTTCTACAGCTGTCTCAGTCTACAGCCAAATTACAAGAAGTACTTCCTACCCTGACCTTAATGTAGTTTGGTTTATGGTACAGACTAAGGCCCAAGCAAAGTTTACATATCCAATTTAGTTTTGGAACAGGAAGAGAAATTCATATAACATTTTCCACCATGTTTATGCTTTCTCTTTCATGATCCTCAATTACAATATGTATAATTACAAACTATTCTTTACCTGCTAGAATAGAGTGTAGGTTGATCACGTTGACAGTGATCATCTGCATTCAAGGAAGAAGAAGAAAGTGTGGTTGCCAAGGAAGCTGCTTCAAACAGAGATTGAGTGCTTGGCACTAGATCCGGTCGGTGGTGCGAACCTAGTACTGCATATGCAGAAAAAAAGAACAATGTTAACAAACTTAAATTTAGCCCAAGAATCTTCACGTAGGTATATCGAGTCCCATAGTGCCCTCATAAGTTTCTTGAAGTTTCCTAATGTTTGAATTGATGAGATGGTGTTATTCATACGCCCATACCCACACTCTTTCATATTACAGAGTGTATTTCAGCTGCTAACAAGTACATTGAGCAGAATACAGAGTAACTCCAAAGTCAAATATTAAACAGAGGTATGAGTTATGAATTCTTCTCAATCTGAGGACTACACTCGTGCTACCAGGGCTCATTTATCAGACTGGATTAGGTAATTTGTTCTGCTTTCCTCATGGCTGCAGGCAAGTTCTGAAAGGGGCAAACTTGTATCTCTTCAAAAAAACTCTGGGAACAATGAACTGAGCTTCAAAACACTTCATGTGACATGTGTGTTTAGAGATCAGTGAAAAGGATAGCAGTGGCTCTGGCCTTAATTTTCTACCTGGGCTGAATACTTTTTTTCAGGATGTCCTGAAATCTGAAAGTTTAACATCATATTACAAACTTTGATTCTGACTTTGCCTTGCTCCTGAAGGTCCATTTTGACAAATATTACTAACTACTCTCTCCATAAGAATAACCTGACTGATTTTGAGAGTTCAGCCATACTAGTAGTGTTCTAGTTACAGCACTGTTGTGATAAGGCACAAAATGATGACACAGACACTGCTGCTCTCGAGGGGAACAAAAAAAGAAGGTTTATTTTCTGACTCCAACATTTATAGTTTTCCAAAGGTGACAGTGGATTGGAGGGTGACAGTGCCACCTCTCCAATGCCACTGGACAGACCAAGGGTCCATCAATTCTCTCCACCTCCATGAAAGAATGCAAAACATAGGTTATTTACAGAACTGTGTGTGAGAAAGTTTGTTGAAAGAATGTAAACATCAGAAGGCTTAACAAAGTCTTACAAAATCAGGGCAACACAGGACTTCTAGAGTTTATACAAAAATTTTAATAACATAATTTAGGTTGTTCATTTGTTCATTCAAAGACCGTACCTTCTTCATCAAGGCTGGCATAACTTTGTCCTTCAGCAAGAATGCCATGCTTTTCATCCTTCCAGTCCTGGCTAACTGCACACACTATTTCTTGTGATGCTGCCTTTAGGGCTGTGATGGAATTACACCGTTTCTTTGAAGGTGAAGTCTTTAAAGCTGCATTACCAAATGAACATAGATGTTGAATGATGTCATCTTATCTCCCTACACATCTTTAACAGCAAACGAAAAAGTAAGCCAAATAGAAAATATGGGTTCTGAACACAGATGAAGAACATATCCAGAAACCTACTTTACAAACATTACATTAAAACTAGAGTGAAAGGTATTGTTATTTCATCTGCAAGAGAAGTACTTTTGTCTTTTTCAGTTTCTTACTGCTTATTATAGGACAACAAGTCAAGTCACTGGCACCACTGATTTAAAAAGCTCCTATGGAGTACCAACCCATGTAATCAGAGACAGAATGATACAGGAAAAAACCCCAGAAAATACAAAAATGGAAAAGACATTTGGAGTATTCTGAGAGGTTATGATCTTTTTTTTGAGCTGTTAACTACTTCTATGTAATGATACTGAAGAATTTCCACTTCAGATTCATCTGTCAAACATTTCTTTTTGGATAAAATAAACACTTCCACAGTCTTGATGGCCTACACACTCAGGTATTAGCACCTCTTTTATACGTCTCAGCAGAGCCTGCATATTTAAAAAGTATTTTGAATCAAACTCTACAACTGATCACTGCCACTACTACTGAACTATGACCCCCATCTGTAGTTTTTCTCCAAAAGGATACCAGCTATTTAATTTAGTGTTTTTCAGCTGCTGGCTGCTGATCTCGATGCACTGGCTGCAAATGCATACTTCAGATGTACTATAACACTTCATTGCTTTACTATTGCTTTACTACAAAGTTCAAATTAAACACATTAAGTCACTTGGCTGAAGACTGAAGGAAAGAATCAGCTACATAGTTCCAGGGTATTTTCAAAAAAGAACATAGAAGACAGTTGCTGAGCTAGCCTCTGCCCAAGGCTAAATCCAGTTATTAAGTTTTTGTTGTTAATTATGCATGGTTGTTCTGTGCAGTAGGGGAAAAAAAACAGATTCAGAGCAGGGCTAAAGTGTTTAAACTGAAATGTCTGACTCAAAGTTTAGATATAATATTCCTGAAGGCAGGAAGACTCCCAATTATTTTTGAAAGAATAATAATGCATTTGAACCATTAATCTGTACAAAAGTGCATTAAGAGTCCCGTATACAGAGGAAATCAATAAGAGTAGGATACTTAGACAGGTTAATTGCCAGGAAAAATGAGACAGATTAATGAAGATCAGAGAGAAAATTAGGCATGATATACTTTAATTGTACATTGTAGGCTTCAAATACAGAACAGGTTGTGTCTTGTCCTGGAACAAATCTAGCAGTCAAAATTAGAAAGAATTGGGGGAAAAAAGACACAGATGTTGAGGTAAGATGTATGGTATTTATTTTGTCAAACAAGAGTGTCTAGTAGTAAGGAGCAGACACTCTTTATTCTTTATCAATGCAGATGAGTTCCTTTGAGTATTGTCTCAGACAGAAGAAGTCCCACCAGTTCTTTGGCAAAATTATTCTAAGAATTAGAAAAATTATTTAAAGAGAACTGGGTCTCAGGAGGCTCCTTTCTCCTTTAAGCTGAATTTTTCTTCACATTTTGTCACATTTTGTCAGTTGCTTCTATTTTCTTATTAACCAATCTTTTCCAAAGGACTTAACTTTGAACACTTTAAATTGTTATTTTATTCTAGTATTTGTAGTCATTTTTAGTTTAAAAATCTTATTTACTTAAATCTTATTTAGTTCTAGCATTTGTTTGTATTTTGTTCTCTCTCTGTCCACACAAAATTGTTTCTCAATCCAGATAACTAATGAAAATGTTAGAGACCAGCATAACATTGGTCAGAAAGTATTTGCAAAACACCTTCTAACAGTTTAAGACAATGCCATATGCTCAGCACTCCTCCTGTAGTATTTGAGCCGAGTGACCATTCCACATTTTGACACTCAAACTCCAAAGCAAATACACTTCCATGAGCAGGATTATGAAACTGCTAAGTCAGATCCATTTTAAAGTACAATTTCCTCTACAAATTTCCTCTAGAAAATTCTAGCCCATCAGTTAATACTTATTTGTCAAGAACACTGCTTCATAAAAAAACCCCTCAACTCAGAAAACACTCTCTCCTACAGGGTAATCAAACCCAGCCATTCTCTTACTAGGAGGAAAAAAAAAAAAAAAAAAAAAAAAAAAAAAAAAAAAAAAAAAAAGTGCAATTTCAGCATCACCTCCATGGGTTTAAAAAATAATCTGGTAGTAAAGCAGCAAGTTAGTATATGGGCACACTATTCAAAACACCTAATCTGAATGTTTTACTGTAAGGTTTTATACCACTTGTGATAATTGTAGGAAAAAAAATCTCATTGCTCATAATAATCCAAACAGCTTTTCCCCAAAGAACTGCCTGGACCTCATCAAATCTCAAGCATTCATCTTTGCTTTGCCAGTATATTTGTTAGAGACTTTCTTACTGCACACATATAGAGCATATCTCAGCACTGTCAAAGAATGGCATGTGTTGGAAGCAATATGAAAAATGACCTAGCTCCAAACCCTGCTGAGCCCAGTGACACCTGCCACTAGAGCAGGTTGCTCAGATCCCCACCAAATTCGTCTTGAACACTCCCAGCATGGAACATCTACCATTTTTCTGGGCAACCTGTTCCAATGCCTAATCACCCTCACTTGTAAAGAGCTTCTTCCTAACATCTAACCTAAATCCACCCTTCTTCAGCTTAAAGCCATTCCCTCTTGTCCTGTCATCATATACCCTTTTAAAAAGTCCATCTCCAGCCTTCTTGTAAGTCCCCTTTAGGTACTGAAAGGCTGCTACAGGATTTCCCCCATAGACTTCTCTTCTTTAGGATGAACATCCCCAGCTTGCCTAGTTTGACTTCATAGGAGAGGGGCTCCATCCCTCTAGTTGTTGACCCTCCTCTGGACTGTCTCCAACAGTTCCATGTCCTTCCTGTGACCCCAGAGCTGATGCAGCCCTGCAGGTGGGGTCTCAGCGGAGCAGAGGGGCAGAATCCGCTCCCTGACCCTGCTGCCCAGGGTCAGGGATACATTTGGCTTTCTGGGCTGGGAGTGCCAATGGCTGGGTCATGTCCAGCCTCTCATCCCCCTGCACCCCCAAGTCCTTCTCCCCAGGGCTGCTCTCCATCTGTTCATCCCTCAGCCTGTGCTAGTGTCTGGGGTTGCCCCAACACAGATGCAACACTTTGCACTTTACTTTGTTGAACCTGGTCAGGTTCCCATGGGTCCACTTCTCAAGCTTGTCCAGGTCTCTTTTGACCCCCATCACCATCCTTCTCTGCACTTGCAATAGTTCAGATTGAATTTCCTTTCACTAGCATGGTCAACTTATAGAGAAATTATACATCAATTCATTAATATTTACAACACTCACAAAAAGTTTTATTTTGCTGAAAAGCTGCCATAACATATCATGCATACAGGGAATCACTACTTGGGATTAATTCCAATTTTCTCTTTTTCTTTTAAAGATTCCTTCATTTTACTTAAAATATCTTAATTGTTTAAGTATAATTAGTCTCAGCCTTTTCCTTTCATCTTTCTAGCCTGTTCTTTTTCTTATGTAGAATTTCACAAAATACTTATCATGTACATTTCTGCCTTCTTGTTTAAGTATCAGTTTTCCCTCTTCTTCATATGCCTTTACACATAATCGTGTTTGTTGTTCTGATCTGCCAGGCCTTTAACACTGGTTTTCATGGACAGGCTCAGAGTTCACAGGCTCAAATATCTTTAGAAAAATGGTATCATCTTTAGACAACATGCAGAGCAACAAAGGCCAGTATGACTTTCTACCAGTGGTAGAAAAGGTAGTGAAAATTAAAGATCTAAACTTTTGATGGAAAAGCCTGCATGAAGGTGTCTCTAAAGTTGTTGGTTTGTTTTTTTTTTTTTTTTTTTTTTTTTTTTTTTTTTTTTTTTTTTTTTTTTTTTTTTTTTTTTTTTTTTTTTTTTAATTAGTAAGACACTAAATTAATTTCCCTGATTTGAGTCAGTTTTGCCTAGGATAGTAATTGGTGACTATGTCCCTGTCAGGGACATAGTGTTTCCCTGTCCTTATTTGAACCCACCCACCTTTTGTTATAACTTTCACTTCCTCTAGTTGAAGAGGGGGAGTGATAGAGTGGCTAGGTGGTCACCTGAAGCCCACTTTAGACAGGCCTGATGTGACAAAAATACATAGTACATAATTCTCTGTAATTTTACTAATGGAGTAAAATCCCACTTGTCAGAAATTTAGTTTCTTGACTGGAGCTACAAAAGTGCTATATGATGTTGAAGAAAGGCTTGTTTTATTTCCAAGACAGGAGCATTATAAGGTTATGATTATAAAAATATCTAAAAGAGTAGAAGTCACTACTCTCTTACCTTGAACTTTTTTGAAAACTCGTGCATTCATAAACTTTAAAAATCTGTCTGCATAAAAACTTGGTCGGTGAACTGAAACAGTATCCTACAAGATTAAAAAAGATCTCAGTCACATTTTCCACAAGTAAGGTGTCAAGGAGAAGCTGGATACCTCAGGAGAACTATATTATGCATTTCAGGCATAGTAAAAAATAGTGAATCATTACCATTTATGAGTTATGAATTATACAGCTATATTCTGCAAAATCTTCCAAGCATTTGAAATTATTTTTTTTCAAATTATGTACATTTTTCAGTTATAGATTCATCAATGTTCTGCTCGGTGGCTAGACTTATGTAAGTTATAAGGGCAAACAAATATTATTAGTTGTTTTTTGAAAGCTCAACAAATAAAACCAGAGCATGTATTGGGAAGATTTCAAGCAGGAGCTCAAACCACATGGTGAGGTTAGACTACAAATGTACCAGAACAAATTTTTTCCTGGTCAACATGAGCTGGTCCACCAGCTAAAATATCAGCAGTTTGAAAATTAATAAAATCTACTTACCCCATCATAAACAAGAGCTTTCCAAGAATGTTCCAGCTTCTTCATTAACCTAAGTATGTAAAAAACTAAATCAGAACTGCTTTATAAAGCTTCCACTTTTATAAGTAATTTCAGAATATTTTGCTCAGTGAAAATTCATTGAAAGTTGCAGTTCAACTTACCTGTATGACTGGAGAATATCAATAATACCCATAAATAAAAGCAGCTTTTCACCTTTATGGCTTTTTGCTGGAATACCTCCCATTCTAAGAGAAACAACATAGAATATTTTTAAGACATCTCTAATCACCAGTTACCAGCTGAACTGTACCCACTTGTAAACCCAAAGAAGTAGACAATATTCATGTCAGATGCCACAATGCAAAGTCAGTCAAATTTAAGTCACCTACCATGCAATGGATTTTAAACAGAAAATTTGAAGTATCTGGGATTCAGTGGTAAGTATACATGATGAAAAAAAAATTAAGACACATTTTAGACAGAATTGGAAATATTCAGATGATCTGAAAAGTGGAAGAAAGTATACATCAGTTTATTGCCAAGGAAAATAAGTAACTTTAGATAAGGGAGAATTTTCTCACTTTAGTGATCATAGGTAACAAATCACAGAGAGTCTGCATGTTAATCAAAGTCTAAAAAGGTAGTTTCATATATTTTTCCCTAAAAATTATGCATTACTGGGCTTTTCCAAAATTTCTTTACAGACAGATAAGTGACAGATAAAGCAACAGTATCAAACTGAGAATTCTGACTGCATGGGCCTCCAGTTGGTCCCAGATCCATACTCAGCCATGAACAGTCATTCTAAAACCCTCTCTTCCTACTCCAACACCTACAAAAATGGTCCATTTTAGAACCTCAGCATTGTTTTTTGCTCCACTAGCCATTATGTCGACATGAAAGAGATAGTGCAAGGAGCAAGAAAGGAGTACACTTGACAGCATCTGAGTAGGACTATATTAGCTCAAGTGGTGTGGGAGCCCAGCTAGTGCAACACCTCTGCCATTGTACAACAGCACTGGCCATCTTCTTTGTGAATGTGAGTGAGTGGTAAAAACCAAGTGAAATAAAGCTCTGTCTAATTATTGTCCAGAGTTCTCAGTGTCTGGAAACTCTCTGTGAATGCTGAATAATTCTCATAATTAAATAATAAAAATTTTGAAATAATTATAATTATCAAATTATGAAAAATCATAATTCTCTCACTCGTTTGCTGTAGGTTTAAGCACAGATTTCTATATCATTAGTTGTATTTATCTACACAGCTCCCTTGAGAACCAGGAGAAAAGTAAATCCTTAACTTTAGATTAAATCCTCATCAAAATAAAGGATTGATTGTATGCAATGCTGAATGGTGACGATAATACTCTTATAGCACTTAATATATTATAAAGGAAACAACAGAATAATGATTGTTTATAAATTAAAATTTCTATTAAAGTTTTTGCTAGACAGAAAAATAGGAGAAAATATCAATTCTTAATCTCAGGAAATATAATATATGACTGCACTTCAGTGGTTGATGATATCATTCTATGTACATTGAGTATACTACTTCAAGATGAAAACAACCCCTCTAGGAATATCCATTTCAATGTTAATTTATTGGTTTTGCTTTGGTCTCACCAGGCTGCTTTCAGTTAAAATTAGATTACAGCTGGGACTCTTGTAACAGTTGTCTGATAGCATCTCTTTTATAAAAGAATGCATGTGTGCATACGTAAGTCACTCTGAACTATCATGTATTTAAAGACTATCAATCTATTGACCAACATTCCAATTTCATGCTCTGTGGTAAATCTCGATGGTGTAGCTTTTGGGAAAAAAAAAAAAAAGAAGGCTCAATCTTTCAGTTCCTGGAATGCAGTGTACTCATGGAAGTTTTGCCTGTTAATACTTTGAAAAGCAATGTTAAGAGCAGGTTACAGCACTTACGTGTTTGTTTTCTCTGTGGTGACGGAGTCTCCAGACTTCCCAGGGCCCTGTATAGACTCCATGGCTGTGGAATAAAGAACTTTCTGTCCTCCATGGCGTTTAGCATCTGATGCACTCTGGGAACACTCTCCTTCTCTTTCCTTCATGTTACTGTTCAATATGTGGATTCCCAGAAGCAGACTGTAATCCATGATCTTAAAACTTTCTAGAACCTACCAAAGAAGGAATGACTATACTGAAAACACAAAAGAATTACACAGCAGCATTTTGCAAACCTGACTGAAAACAGGCTCTCAAGGCACAAGCTTCTCTTATCAGGAAGTGTGTGAAATTACAGTTATTACAGTGAAATTACACAAAAAACTTTTACTATCCACACAAGTGAAGTACTCTAATTAGCTGAATGCTCTTGTAACAAGTGAGAAATAAAGATGCACAGCTGAAATGCAACCTGATGTCATTTTGTAGTCAAGGAAGATAATTCCAGGCAGCACCTTTTCCTTTATAACAAATAATCAATTAATGGTTCCATCATATACTTATGAACAACACATTTTAAAAATTATCTCTAATGCACATTCCAGACCTCCCCGAGTATTTTTGCCTGTCCTCCTTTCTTATCTCCCCTCCACCTTCTATTTGTAACGGAGACCATACTCTTGGAGAACTTTCAAATGGCAACAACAGTATTTGCTGCCACCCTCTTATTAGCATCTAATGGGACTGGAATACAAAAATCCTGCACTTCTCTACTAGGCTAAATAGAGTCTATCTAAACTCAAAAGACAGGTTTTACTTCTGAAGCATGACTTAACCAACCATCCTTCTCTTCTAGTTCTACCAATCATTTCTGTCTCTGGCAGCATGTCTTCTCACACACAAATAGTTTCATTTGTTTTTACTCAGCTACAACATTATGAAGTCTGGCATGCTGTTACTGAAAGCATAAAAGCTCAAGCCAATACCCAAACATGAACTAAAGCAAGCTTTGATCACATCTAGTAAAATAAACAAACTGTTCACAGCAACAGTTTAATGACAGACAGCAACTGTGTTTAATGTCTTACACGACACTGCTAAGTGGAGGGAGAAACACCAGTAACAGCCAGGAGGGATATGCTGTGCCACTTACCTCTCCTTCACCTCATGCAGCTCAGCAGTGATTCATGATATGTTTTGGCACATAATGCCTGAAGATAATGGTGTAATTTTTGTCACAGAATCAAGAGGCAATAGTACATCTTTTTACATGAACAAGAAAAGAAGTGATTTTACAGAGATGAGAGTAGATTCTAGGTATGTAATTTTGACAAAGATTATCCAAACATAAGTATTTTTGGTTAAGCAGAAACATCCCTTCTCTTAATGAAAAAAAAAACAAACCAAATTTCAGTACTTGCATAGGTTTGAAAACTATGTGGCAGTAAAACAGTAATTTAGTATGGATCTGTATGTCTAACCAAAAGGTTTTTATACCACTTACCCAGACTGTTGGAAAAATACTCATTGCTCAGATAACCAGAGCAGTGATGAAACAAAGCATAAACATAGAATGGCATAAAATCAGATTTGATTTTCAGACTCAAAGGATGACTTTAAGACACCATGGGTTTGCTCTTGTGCAGAGGGATCCTACTCAGTGACGCCTTAGCTCAAATGGAACCAGAAAAAGGCTGCTAATGTATGGCCTTAGTAGTCCACAGCATCTTCTGATGACAGAACTCACAAAGGATTTCATACACAACAAAAGCTGTATTCTAACCACAAGATTCTGGAATTTCATTGTGCATTGTGTGGACATGTTGGTGGTTTGCAATCATAAATTGCAAAAATAGCATAGGTAAAAGGTACAAAGGCACTCGGTGCCAAAAACGTCTAAAATTTATTTACTGCTTACTTATTGCTACCCTTTACTCAGACTTTCTCAGAAAGAAATTACAACATCATGTATTCATTAAAAATATGTAGTCAATGAATGTTTGCCATCAAATGCTGAAACTAAATTCAGGATAGGCTGAAAAAGAACACCTTAATAATACAGTAAGCAACACTGTTCATGCAAAACCAGAACAGGAGCTAGTCAGGCTTGGGAGAAGCATTGCCACATTTATTTCACAGTTGTAAATTACTGCTGACAGTTCTATCTTCAACATGTTCTTTACTGCATTTTGAATTAGGTCACACTAGACACATGATTCTACTGCACTAGTTACATAACCTACGTCTATGATTGGATGTAGTCTCATGGGAGGCTGTGCTGTAGTGTGCTACTCCTTCTTCCACAGGGACCTCTTATGTGATAAAATTAATCCTTCTGACTACATCAATTCATCACTGCCGCTTAAACCCATACTACTTGTACAGTACAACAGACCACGCCTTGACAATTTATGATTTTGGAGCAGGATTACCGAAAAACATCATAAAACCAAATTCCATTATTACAGCTTGTTAACAGACTGAAACACCTTAATCCAATAATTAATTAAGTTAATCCAATGGATTAACTGCAGTACAAATTCTTACAAACAGCACACAGCATAAGAATCCTTGTCCCCCAGACACTCTGTTCATGGCCCTACTCAGAGGTGGCATTACACTGTCCACAAAGTGTCTTCAGGATATCATGACGTGATCTGGCCCTGTCTGCCTACAGCTTTGATGTACAGTTCTGATTACTTCCCCTTAGAAACATGAAAACCAAACCAACCACTCCTTATGCAAATTAACCTTTGTGACAGTATCTAAGCATGTTTCACTCCCCATTTGTTTCTAATCTGGCAAGAAATAACTAACCAGAAAAATAAGGAAGAATCTCATAAATCAGCACTCAACAAAACTTCGTGTCAAACTCCTCAGTCTGTATTAAGACAGTAAATCAGTTGGATTTACAGCTGAATATATCTGAGGTGTTCTCACATATATATCTTCATTAATATTTAGAATACCAAATCATGACAATTTTAAAATATGTAACATTTTGCACACACAGTTGTACAAAATAATCTGTTTCAACAAGGACAAGTTACAAAATGCAGAACATCAAGACATTTCTTTTCCTGTGCTGAGGTTTGTTTGCAGATACTTTTGATGATTTTAGGACTGCTTTTGAGATGCAGCAGCAAGTTTTTGCTCAAAGGCACCAAAATGATACCCTAATCTAACACTAAACCCCCCACTAAAATAAATTAAAATATTACATGGCTATATTCATAGCAAAAGGAGAAAGCCCTGCAAAACACCTGGCTCTATCCATGTGAGATCACTAGAAATCAACATAAGCTCCTAGAAAAACACTGCTTATGTAGGTAAAGGGAGGAAAACCCCAATCTTTGCTCATGTACTGACATTCTGACATGTACCTTGCTAGCAAAATGGCACTGTGGGGTTTCAGCAAGAATGGTCCTAATCATGCTGTGTACTAACAAGTGGTATATTTGTTAATGACAAGTAAACCTCCTGTTCATTAACTTAACATTAAATTGTTCATCTTGGTAATATTTATGTGTTAATTCACTAACTACACAGATTCTGTCAACACAGTGTTGTCACTTGGTCACCAAGTCCTGTGGTCAAGGCTGACTTCAGCTGCTCTGAAAACTTCCAGATGGCAAGTGACACTCACCCCTTGCAGCCTTAAGCACTATTTTGTTTCATACCACATAAAAACCCACAGTAAAATGGCATCACAAGATATGTTGTTTCAGAACATGAAAACTTAACTCTCTGAATCACATTTTCTTTTCTCAGAGCTAATCAGATGTTAAACTATTCTCTGAATCATCTTAGACATGGTTACGCTCCACTGTCTCAGCCAGTGACTAATGGAGCAAAACAAGTATTTCTGCCATGAAATGTAATTTTTATTTTATATGCAGCCAACCCAAACTACACACTGTCTGACAGAGAAATCTGCATTTACATTTGCTATCTATGCAAAACAGCATGCAAAAAAGTTATCAGATCATTTTCATAAAAGGGTCAAGAAAAATACAACTCAAAAGAAAAAAATTAGAAGCTTATTTAATGAAAGTACTAAATGGATAACCATGCAAGGAAGTATTTCCTCTCCTACAAGCATTTTCAAAAAGTGACATAGGAAATAACTCAGTAGAAAGAAGACTGATTTTACAATATATCAGTAATTACTATTCAACATAATGAAATTAATGAAATATATGAATATATATATGAATACATTTCATATATATAATATACGAAATAAACACAAATTAAAGGACTATCGCACAAAATAAGCCTGTCTTAGGAAAAAATTCACATATGCCAATGCCTAAAAATGGGTCTGGTTCAGAAAAAATTTCTCCCAAGAAAATGAATCATCACATTCCCACCAAAGCATAGGTGGAATCACTTCCCATTTCAACAAAATTCTCTAAATATATTGTTAACTAACACTCCAAAACTAACAATCTGGATTCTGATTTTAAAAGTAGAAGTAATGAGAAATTGCTAATGTCAATTGATACTATGGAAATGATAATATATAAAGACACAAGAGATCTACAGCATCATGCTATGGTCATTTCCCTCAAACTACCATTTCTGACAAAGAGGCCCTTCACCTAAGATTACTATGTTCTCCATCTCCATGCCACATCATGCCATCTTTTATTTCTGTCCTATGCTGCAGTTTATTATTTCATTAAGTTATGCCAACACTACTGTTTGTAAGGATATGTTGTACAAGGGGTCACTGAAGTTATTTGGCTTAAAGAATAGATCCTTTGAGGTAGAAAAAAGGCAAAAAACTGCAAAACACACACTACTAAGAGATTTGAAAAATTCTGTGGATAAATTTGGTCATACAAGATCTGCATCACATTTGCTACAGCACAAAACAGATGTGCAATCACACCATAAAACTTTTGTTGCAACTGGCTAAAACAGCAGTGATGAAAACAATACCTAAGTCTCAGACTTAGGAGATATGACCCTCTTTAAATTTCCTTGTCTTTACAGGTTTCTTCATTACTCACTTTCAAAATATAACTTCCTCAGAAAAGTCCAGTGTTCTTTGCCATAAAGGTAAAATGCACTCTCAAAAACCATTCATTTCTCAATAGTAAAAATATCTTCTCTTTTTTTTTTTTTGTTCTTAAAAACTACATGACCACAATTTGATTAATTTTTACAGCTTCTCCAAAAAGACAAAGACAGGCTAGCTACAGAAAGTCTCAGCAATAGTCTGGAATTTGAAAGCTAGCTCAAATTTTCAATTGTGTACATTGTACATGATAAATTCATGAATGTTCTGTCTTTAGGAACATTGTAATATTACACTCCTTGGTTCAGTTAAGGTGCAAATACTGCAAAAGGAACGGTGAGCCAATTTTTCAGACCCTGTCTCCTCAAGTGTGAACAAAACAAGCAGGGGATGCAGGAGCTAAACAATGCTATCAATCTGTACTTGTTCCAGCATGGATAATCTGGAGACACCAGCGCTTTTTTTTTTTTAACAAAAAAAAAATCCCATGAGGGATCACCACAAACAACTCAGCTCCACTCTGTAGCTGGGCAAGTCATGCATCTCCTCACCAGCACTGCCAGGAGCTGTGAAAGGCCAGAACTACTCCAGCAGTGGTCTACCATTGCAGCACTGGATTCCCTGGGGAAGAAGCTCTCTGTCAGTTGTCGAGATGGTCTGTGTTGGCTGAGCAGATGTATCAGGAGGCCAATTCAGCTAAGCAAGGAAGCCACAGCACAGCTTGAGTGTGAAAAGCCAGCATACAGGACAGGTGAGGACAGACAGGCCAAAAAGAAGGAATAGATAAACATTGTCTGGGCATCTAGGGATGGCAGCTGTGATCAAGGAAGCCAAAGACCAGCTAGAGTTGAGACTAGCAAGGAATGTCAAGACACAGAGAAAAGCTGACCAAGGAAAACATGAGTCCATTGGTGAATAGGGCAGGAGATCACAGAGCATAGCAGCAGTCACAGACCATAGCAGGTCCCCATCATCACTATCTTTCATTACCAGGAAATTCTATCAGACCTCTGATCTTAGCGATGGATCTTAAGGAGGAGAGGGGCTAGCAGACAGGGATGTTTATATTTAAGAAGTAGGAGAAAAGTCCATTGCTTCCAGATTCTGATTGAAAATATGAGCAATGGACACACAATCCAAATTTAAGCAACACAGAAGAGAATTTCTTAGTCCCGAAATGGGACTGGAATGATCAAAAATTTCCTTTCTTAAACGAATTCTTAATTTAAAGTGCCTACACTAACTTCTTCACTTTGAAGTAAGAGTAAAAAGAGATGACAAGTTTTCAAGTCCTTAAAAGCTGGTCAGTTATCACTATCAGCTGGTACTATCAGCAGTTATCACTATCACTCATCCAAATACCTCTTGGGAAGAAAAAAGCAGAGGCAACACTGATGTCCTTTTCACAAAATGGATGGAATATTTCTGGTCTTTTTAAAGGCAGAAATAAAAGGCAGGTAGTCAGATCCAACCTTATTAGCTGAGCAAATTCAGCAATATGAAAGATAACAGTGTCTGCCCCCTCTGTTTTATAACACAAAGACTTGTTTGAATAGAAAAAAGAGGCAGTTAATTTTTTATATACATATAACTTTCAGTGTGCTTATATACATATATCTACAGATACACACAGACATATACTTTATTGTGTATATGTGTATTTATGTAAACACACTGATTACTATAGGATAATTTTCTGCTTTACTTTTAATACTTTTAAAAATTATCTGGGGCTTTAAGAACTCTAGTCTAACTTTAGAGTTCTTAATTTAAGATATACATTGAAAAGGATTATATTAGCACTCAAATAACATGTAGCAGGAATTTCCCCAGACTTCTAAAGAATCATTAAGAGTTCCTTTATATGTAACAATTAATTGATTGATTTTTGTTTTTACTTTTCAGTCCAGTTCCATCTTTTTGATACCCTCTATTATTTCAAATACAATAGACTTCCCCAAGCTCTGGCTGGATAAGTAACCTTGAACAAGTGGGGGATACATAGAAAGGCATCCAGATCCCCAGATGTGACATACTGATGCATTCTCTGTCATCACACATGGTAGGAGCTCAGGAAATATTCACTGCAACAGGCTACAGAGAGAACAATGTGTCGTGTTAGATAAATGTCTCATGCTGAATACACAGCTGAACATTAGGTCACACAGCTTTACAAACCAATCACAAGGCATTGCACACTTCTGTGATAAACAAAAAATTCTATTCATGTGCAAAAACAATGCTTTCCATCTTGTACCACAGATGGCAGCGAACAACAAACTCTGATATTCAGGATGTCTCTTCTATGTAGTGAGTTCAGACTTTTGCTTTATTACTATGAAATTCTTATGATTTCCCTCAGACAAAGTAAATTTTTTTCCTCCAAAAACCCCATGAATCCTGGGAAGTTCTGAGAGATCTGGAGTCTCTCTTTTCCTACTTTACATCTTCTTATCCATGTTACAGGAAAAATAAACCTATTTTACAGCAATTCTCTCTGTCTATAGTAGGAACTGATTCCATTTGCCAAAGTCCTCTCAAAGAGCAATGATAGGTATCCCTCTTCTGCCTTGAAAATATTTTGTGGACAGCTTTTGTGTGGGCTTTTCAGCTGAGGAAAAAATTGCCTCGCTCAAGAAGTAAGACTGCTGCCACTAGGCCTGCCTTCCCATTCCTAGGTAATCAAGAGACATATTCACAGCAGCTCTACATACAGTTTATCATACACAATAAAGTTCCACAGGGCTAAATATGCACCAAGAAAAAAGTAATTAAAATCTCCAAATTAATGGAAATCATCATCACCATTATATCTACTGGACTTCATTCATGTATTAATCTGTATTGTCACAGATGGATCAGTGTAATCCTGGATGTACATAGAAATAGAGGGTTAGCCCTGGAACTTAGAGTTGTGCTAGATGATGAACTTAATGAATCAGCAATGTGCCCTAGTGGCCAGAATGTCCACCTGTATCCTGGGATACACTCAGCACAGTACAGCTATCTGGTTTGAGAAAGGTGATCGTCCCACTGCACTCAGCATTGGAGCTGCCGCACATCAAGAAATGTGTGCAGTTTTTCCACAGTGTAAGAAGGATATAAAATATAAGAATGTGTCCAAAGGAAGGCAAAGATGGTGAAAGGACTACAGGGCATGATTTGTGGGGAGCAGAGAAGGATATAAGGTTTGAGGGTGAGAGAAAGGGTAGTGCTGATCTCTGGTGCCTGGTGATAGGATGCAAGGGAACAGCTTAAAGCTGCATTGGGAAAGTTCATTGAGATAGTGGTTTAGCACTAGAACCAGTTCCACAGTGATGGAAGTGCTCATGGTCCCCAGTCTGTTGGTGTTCAAAAAGTATATGGATATTCTATCTATGACTATGATCTCAGATCACAACAGCTTAACTAAAATACAGGCTTCATCAGTGCTTTGACAGCTATAGTTATCCCTCCTTAAATAGCATGCAAAACAAATGGAGGTTAAGTAATCTGTACTGAGTAAATTTAGAGCAGAGGTGAACATAAAAGTTTAAATATATACTCACTTGACAATCCCGCTGTAGTGTTTTCATTAGTGCACTGTGTGTTTCAGAATCAAAATACAACCCTTCATGCATATCTTGCAGGAAATCCAGGTCTTTGAATGTAGGGTTGGACTTCTCCCTCTCTTTTCTTGATGCTCTGCGTTTGTATGTGGAGCCTTTCAAGTCGTATGTGAAATGCATTTTCAAGGCTCGTGGTAAAACATTGTTCATGACAACAATTCTAATATTAATGCCTCCTGACTGAACACAGTACAGCCCATAAAATTTGGGAAGAAGAGTCCTTGGATTCTGGTTCAGATTCTAAAAAAAAAAAAAGAGTTATTTTTAAATAAGTCTATTTTCAATGAACTTCCATGCTTAAGAAAGGGTTTTCTTTAACAGCAAAATAACATTAACAAACATGAAGAAAATTATGAATGTTTTCTTATTCAGCACAGTTTCTTCAACCAGTTGATTATCTTTGTGGGTTTCTATTTCAGAAAGCTAGCATAGGCAGTGCTTTTTTGCCAGGAACTTAAAAAGGCCAAAAGCAGAGCAGTAACTACATTTATGCCCTTTCTCACAGAAAAGAAGAGACTAGGTCAAACCTAAAAGCATTGCAAAGACTTAATTTTTTTTTTCTGACCCGAACAACCTTTGCGTTTTACTTGCTGGAAGGAGTCTGAGTTAAATGTAGTGCTCATTATCTTGACTTGGATTCTGAAATACAGAATCCCTCTCTCCATGACGCTTTACACACTCAGGGTTAGTGCCAAACGACTAAGTTATTTCCAGAGGTGTGTGAGGTCATAATAGAACCACAACTGACCATCAGAACAGAAAAGTGTGAAATAATCCAAATTCCACAACAAGCAAAATAAATTAGGTAATAGAGGATAACAGAGGTGAGAGAGAAAATCCTTTTTCTGAATACAACTGTTCTCAGTCTTCAGCACGAAAAAGAAAGAAGGGGAAAAACTACTTCAGGTCTTAGACGATTACTAAGTTACAACATACAACTATCAGAAGAAAGAAGTATCACAGAAATAATCACAGTGATTGAAGTTTTCTATTTTGGAAGCAATTGCATAGCAGTGAGAATAAAGTTCCCAGAAATAACACAAACTGGCCTTATATGTACTTGTAATAACTCAAACGTGTGCTGAGTGGATCATCATTAGGAACAACAAAACCTGCCACCATTGTCCTTACTGATGTGTCAATACACATGTTTTTCTTATGCATACAGTGAATCCATGTTACTTTAGTGCAATAATGACAACATTCCTTATTTTTAGTATAAGTGAGAGGGTAATTTTTCAAGTATTTACATCAGGAAACAAAGCAAGAAAACAAAGTCAGTCATAGGTCTAATAATACAAAGTCCCACATACCACCCAGAAGAATGTCTGTTTGTGTGTATGAGTGGCTTTTGTTACAAAAAAAAAAAAAAATTAAATTCTACTTACTTTTTAATCAATGGTTTTCCCTTCAGATGACACACAAAACCCAATACAATGGACTTAGAATTAGCCCTCAAAAAGCTCATTTAAAAATTAAGTTTTGAACAAATTACATGGATAAAAATATCTTTCACATCATTGCTTTAATACATGAGAAATGGAAATCAGAAGTAGTTGGAAACAAAAGGGAAACTGACCGGTCTAGTTTCTTTGTCCACTCTGAGTGAAATGCAGAGGGTAGACAAATACAAAATGGAGAAAAAAAAACTGAATTAGAAATTTAGAAACCTTATTTTGTTACTAGCTTATTAGAAGCAAAGTTTGGCATCAAATTAGATTATGACATTCAGCTTCATCTTGAATGCTAAAAGAGCACCAACTCTTGTCTTAAATATATTCTTGGTTTCTATCTATTCTTTCTGTTGGATGTGTAGGGCATGAAGTAGAAAAAATGTAAAAAATATTACAAAAAATACAGATTAACCCAGTGGAATATTTCAAGACAAATGAAACTGAATCTTCAGAAGTGACATGAAACAGGAGAAATAGATTTAAAATAAAGTCTTCAATTACTTACCATATAATAACCTGGCAAGAGCTTCTGAAGAAACTCAGCTTCTTTGTGTTGAACTGTTTTGATGATGAATTCGTCACCACTAGTTACAAAAAATAAAGACCCACTGGCACCTGGGTTGGATAATTCAATTAAAGGTTCACTGCAGATTGAGTACTGGAAGAGACAAAAATTGCTTTTCACTGCCAATGCGTGCATTACCCAAACACAAGTTTAATATGAAGAACTGCAGGTTCAAGTAGTCACAAGAGAATCATGTAGCAGCACTGCTGCTGCTGGCTGAGGTTTGGGAGGCCACTACCCAGGCATGCTGCCCAACCATGGAGCAGCAGCTGGCAGCTGAGCATATAATCCTTCTTCATGTTCCAAAGCAACAGGTTCCTTTGGAATGAAGCCAGTGGTTGATGTGGAAGGAGTTGATCTCCATGCTGTCAGCATAACAAATTCTGAGTCAAAAGCTTTGAGAACACATTTTCACTGGACCTGTTTACTTTTCACATTCATTTTTTTAAAGAAAGGTACAAGATGGTAGAAAAGTAAACTGGGAGTAGAGGTTTCTCATTATAGGCAAATAGGCAAATCCTGTGCAACTGGGATTGAAACTGTTAGACTGATAAACTTGGTATAGCTATAGCTACTAATTTTAGTATAGTTACTGATTTTAAAAATATTTTACTTGGTTTATGATTGAAAACCACTTGAAAAGGAAAAAAACCCAATACCAGTAAACAAGAAAAACTGGAATTTGAAGGACCATTACATTGCGTATTTAGACAGGCTTCCTTTTCCACAGGACACATTAAGAATTACAATCACACTAAGGAGGAAAAAGACACCAAAGACTATGCCTTATTAGTAGAACCATACTTTTACAGACACTAATGTACATTTATTAACTGTCCACTATTCCAAACTTGATCCAAATTATATGGAGAGCTGACATTCAGCTCAAAAACATAGAAAAATCTATCTATATTAAACTTGAAAGCAGTGATACCAGAAAATCTAATAAACATGTTCTTTTATGAGCACTTGAACTAAAGAAGCATGTTTCCTATAGGGTCATGCTATTGCCTTAGTGCATCTTGTCCTAGCTCCAGCTAAGGCTTATAATTTTTAAGAGAATTTTACATGATATATAAATATTTCTTCTCCCTGCTTATACTCAATTCCAAGTAATAGAAAATACCTTTCTTTTTAATTCTATAGTTGCAATTTTCTACAGACAGAATGGCCATACCAATCTGTAACACTACAAACCTTTAGACCAAAACAGCAGTTGTACTGCAGCAATTGCATTTTTCTTGCCAAAATATTTAACTCTTAATGAGTAACTGTGACAGTCATAAACATTTGAATGCAATTATCCTAAACATTAAAGCTCAGTAGAACAGTATAAAATAAGCACAAACATTGACCTACACTCTGCATTGGTAATCTTCCAGTAGTATGCATTTCTGTAAAAAAGTCCCCCACCAAATGCTGCTATACAAAGGGCCCAGCTAGTTTTGACTGGACACCTCTAAAAGGCAGATCAAAACCAAAAGGTAAGAAAATCCCCCAGAGCCTGACAAGTGAGTATTTATGATCAAGAAGTTTCCCTGCAAAATGACACCACTCCAAGAGGTTTACAGTGCTAATTTAATTCTAGCAGCTGTTCAAATGTATTTACACTTGTTATCCTGTCTGACTCCCACAGTGTGTTACAGCTCATCCTCCTTGGAAAAGGTGTAGCTTTGAATCTTGAGCTTTGTCACTTCAGATTAACAACTCAGATATGCTTGCTGTTATTTGTGCTCTTCTTATTTTACTTCACATGCCCTTCAGCAACAGCTGGACAATCATTTACTACTTACTACATACCACTTGTGTGTTTTCCTGTGCCAAGAGAAAAAAGAATCTGCAACAAATTGTCTTTACTAGTAACTTCCCTCAGGGAATAGTCTTTTTGTACTTAAAAGGACTGTCACAAATCCTATTCACAGCATGCAGTCTTTGACTCTAACTTCTGCTACTGCAAAAGCTTCCTTAGGTGGAAAAGAAGTTGCAGGTGATAATAACTTTGCTCTAGGAATCACAGTCCTTTTAGCAGCTGGCAACACAGCCCACATACTTCAGCTTTTACCCAGACCATAAAAAGAGATAAGATAAATAGCACATTACATAATGACACAACTGTCACCAATGACGTCCTTGTCTCTAAGCTGGAGAGGCATAGATTTGATGGATGGATAACTCAGAGGATAAGGAATTGGTCATACTCTAAGAGTTGTGGTCAATGGAAGAAAGAAATTCTTCACTCTAAGGATGGTGAGGTGCTGGAATCTGTGGTCTAGAGAAGTTGTGGAAGCCCCATCTCTAGAATTGTTCAATACCAGGCTGGATGGTGCTTTGAGCAACCTAATGAAGGGGAAGATGTCCTTGCCCATGGCAGTGAAGTTGGAAATAAATCATGTTTGAGCCCTTTCCAACTGAAACCATTCTATGACTCTGATTTATAAAATTCGCAAACAACTTTATTTCTTTGCTACTACCATTTATGATTCAAATTAATTATCTTTTTTCATATATAACTATGGTGATGAGGACTACTAACACAAAATCCACACATGGCACTAAAGAATTAAAATAAGACACCCACATTAAACTTAAATAAAACCAAAACCAGCTAAGTTTTGCTTTCAGGCTTATTGTTCACTAGGAAGAAAAACCCATTATAGCACACTTGAACAGAAAAGAAACTATTTAGTATTAATCAATATATTTATTAATATATTAATATTTTAGAACCATTCAATAATTTTTTCTGTTTTATTCACCCAAGCCCTTTCAAATTCTTTTGGTCTTAAAGAAGCTGCTATCAATAATAGAACAAGAGGATTTTAAAGCTCATTCAAAAAATTACATATAAACTTGCTAATTTGTAGCAGGACTCTGATTTCTTGGGTGACCCACCATGAAACAAACCAAACACTGGGCAAACATCTAGAAGATGGACAAACATCTAGAAGACAATCCAGCTCAGCATTCACCCTACCCTTCCAAAAGCAGAACTACAGGAGAAATAAAACAGCGAACACTCGTTCCAGCAGTATACAAAGTGGTTCCACCAAGTAAAGCCTGCTTTTACAATGTCAGCAAATTTGTAACTTTTTCTAGTGTAAACTGAACACTGTGAAAGAATAAATCTTCAATTTATAAAATAGAAAGAACAAAGGAGGCATTCTAAAATGCTTCATTTTTAGTCTGTCATCCATGTGCCTCAAAGCTAGACAGGAACATTTGCAGACTTCACTTTGTAATGATGTGTGTAAGTGACACAAATCACACAGAAGTACTTAATTAGAACTGAATCAATAAAAGTCGCAAACTACTGATCATAACTTCTCTAGAAAAATTATCTGAATGACATGGATGTTGCTCTAGTCAATTAACAAAACATGTATTTTATACAAATTGTCTCAAAGATAAATAATTAAAATTTTTGCCACCACTAAAAATATTCACTAGTTATATACCCCTCCACACATAACATTTCTTACTGATTTGGTCACCCTTTAAGAATCCCTTTCTGCCACAATGAAACTAGTATGCTTTATAATAATTTGTAACTCAAAGGAAAACTGCAGGCTCTTACCAAATAGTCATCAGGCTTGATACCAAAAAGTTCTCTGAAATATCGGAAGGCAAGAGGTGCATATGTCTTAAATCTGAAGTCAGGGTAATGATGAGCAGGGGTAAGATTGCTCCCTTCACTGAAAACAAAAACAAACCAAACCAAATTACTGAGTAATTATTAGCAGCTAGTTTCACTAAGCTGCCTAGCTTGACCGTTTCCCTGCTGAGAAAAGAGCATAAATGCAGATAAACCTCTCTATCATCATTAACCACTAATAGAAATGTCCGTGAGAGACACTGCCAGCAAATTCCTTTTTCTCACCTTAAAGGAAATAACTATTTCTATCACCTGTAGGCATTTGCATAAAGATCACGTTTAAACATGAACAAAGTCTGCCCTCCAGAAGTCCAAGATTTTGCTGACACCCCTGAGTATTGAAAACTCTTGTGTCATGGTTGCTGTGCTCAAGATGGCTCCAACCACAGTGTCTCCCACGAGCCCTTCTCCGTAAGCAGCAGATTCAGCAGGGTAGCTCCCCTGGTAGGCTCATTTCCCAGATGTGTGAGCAGTTCACACACTCCAGGAATCTCCTAGACTGCCTCCTCTCCTGTGCTGAATTTCCAGCAGACATCTGGCAGGTTAAAGTCACCCACAAGAACAAGGGCTGACAATCATGAAACATCACCATCACATTATAGAATAGTTCCTCCACCTCCTCATCCTGGTTGGGGGGTCTATAGCAGACTCCCACTAGGATACCTGCCTTTTCAGCCTTCCCCCTGATTGTCACCCACAGGCACTCAACCTTCTCATCACTAGCCTTGAGCTCTGTACAGTCAAACCCTTCCTAATGTACAGAGCCACCCCACCACCTCTCCTTCCTTGCCTGTCCCTACTGAAGAGCTTGTAGCCATCCAGTGCAGCACTCTGCTCATCCCACCATGTTCCTGTGGTAGTGACTATGTCATGGCTTTCCTGCTACTTTATGGTTTCCAGCTCCTCCTGTCTGCTACCTGTACTGCTTAGCCCTTTCCCTTGTTTTATATTTATCACCATGCTCTATTTTTAGCTTGAGTTACAAAACTCTTGAGATTAATACTAGATATAAGATAAAGGTCAGCAGCAAAATGCTGCTAGATTTAAAAAAAAAAACCAAACCCGCTGCCCATGGATTCATTTATGATAGAAAATGAGAGAGGTCTTTTAAGCAGAAGAATAAAGTTCTACATTGCGATTTCAAAACAAACAAGAACACCTTTAAGACAAAGTTTTGGTACTGGAATCAGCAAGATAGAAACTTTCTAGCACATTTTTATTAGCATATTAGAAAGTAGGCTTTTATTACAGCATGCTGGTCACTCTGGGAATCTTTCCTCTAATCAAGTGCCCTGAGAGTCATGTGAATAAAGTTTTTATGATACACACTGATTATATATTAATTAGCTATCCCCACTTACTTGACTTCATTTGACACAATCACACCCCTTAGTGGAAGTCTTTATCTGATTCTTTGGGGTCTGTCTTCAGTGTCCGGTGTCCTTTCTATGTGGCTGTTCCTTGACCTCTGCTTCTGACTAAGTGCAATATCATTGCTTTGCACAACTTCTACTTTGCCAGCGTTGTAGAGCTGAGCTGGCATCCTGCTTGTGTTTTGCCTTACTTCAGTTTGCCTTTATTTATTTCTCCAAGATTGTGCTGTTTGTTCAACTTTCCTTGATAACAGTAAAATGCTGTTCTGTTTTACTGTTTTTATCAGTTTGGCCAGTGTCTGAATGGTTTGATAAATACAGAAATACAAAATCCAAGACTTGACACAGTTGCTGAAATAAGCTTTTCCAGCACTTCTTGACTCATTTACTGTAACTAAATTATTCAGTAATGCAGAATGTATCATTATGCTTGGTAAAAAGAATATCCAAAGGACACCTAAAAGAAAAAAAGGCTACAAATTCACACAGATATGAAAAGCAATAAATCTTAAGCAACATTCCCGAAAAAGATAATGAATAAAAATTAAATATAATGAAGGAATTTAAGAGCTTTTATCCTGTACAATTAGTATTTGTCATATGAGCTTGCCACTTTTCATTAATAACAGTTTGATGACAGAAGCCTACTCAACCCACCTAGCTGCCCCTGTGCTGCCAAACCCCACACAACTGAACAGTTTCCATGACAGCAGGTGAACAAGATTTCTCAGTCTCCAGAAATGTGTAACATTTCAGACTCTTGAACAGGAGATGAAAGGAGGAAAAAAAAATCAAACCGATTTCTTTCTTGAATTCACACATAAAAAGATGCTTGTGGATGACATACATATGAAGACAATAGAATACTGCTGCTTCTTGGAGCACCAAACCCTAAGTAAATAGTGAAGGCTACCTAGTCCTAAAGAACTCCTCTGATCACTCTATATTTACTTCAGACTGACTCCAAGATATCAAAATCAAGTCCACATATGACTTATTGTTCCATTATAGAGTTAAAAATGGAAATCAGTAGGATACAAACTGAAGATAGTAGTGGTTCTTTACAGTTAAGATAGACTAATGCTCTTTCATAAGGCCTTTCTACTGCTCAGAACACTGCTAGATTTGTCAGACATTAAGTTTTATATAGCTGGCTGTGACTCATTGAAATTTTGTACAATATGAGGATGCCCCAGTGGTCATATAGTTACACTGGAAACCTGGGGTCATACTTGTAAATGCATTTAATTGTCATAAGATGCAGAAAATAATAGAACAGAGTGTTCTCTACTGAAGTATCACATAATTGTCAGGGAATATAAAGCATCTAAACTTTTTTATTAAGTTTTACGTTTCAGTACTAAACACTTTTATAAATCTGTTTCCTCTAGCTGTAACTTGAAGGCTTCTCCTGTGAAAGCATGTCAGCAAATAGACTACATGTTCTTACTATACCAGAACATGTACTGTCACTTCACTACGGTGAGATGAAGGTAGGAGGTTCGCTATGACAATAGGACATTTCTGAGCCATTTCATAAGTGCATATGGAGTCAAATGACCAACACTGGGTCAGCAGGTGCACAGTAACACATAGCAAGTGGAGATTTATTGCAAAATAGAGCAATTATTTTGGAACAGCTTCTACATAGAGGGCAATTCCATGTATTTAGAACACATCAGATACTTTATTACAGATATAACAATGTCACTATGCAGACAGCTTTCCTTATTCTTTATAAAATCATCTTTAAAAACACCTTCTGTTTAAGGTCTACAGAGTATTTTACCATACCCCGTTTCTGTTAATCATATGAATTAGTTTCAGCTTCACTACCAAGAGAATAGCTTACTGATCCCAACAGTAAGATCTGTAAATCATGAAGCAAACTTGACACAAATTTAAGATTTCTTGTTAGTACTCTGGAAAATAGTTTTAAGGTTTTCCTGATGGTACTTCTAACAGAAAAAGCACCCTCACTTCCAGTAATTTCTTACAGGAATGGAAACCTTTCAAATTTCTTATCAATTTGCAGCTTGTATGACAAGTATGAATTGAGTATGGCCTTGTTCTTTCTGGAAAAAGACACTCCACTGTACAGAATGCTTGATCTAAGTACATCCCTACCCTATTTAGAATTATTCACATTCCAGTCTATTAGCTATTGAAATAATTTATTCTGTAGTTTCTCTTCACATTTTCTTGATGCATTTTACAGTTTCACTCTCAGGGGATTAAAGTGTATGTGCAAAGCAGTACATATAACGATTTTTAATCAGTCTAGGGAGTTTCAAGGGGACAATTACATCTTTGACATTTAACAAAAAAATGCGCATGATCCATTGGCAAAAAGTTAAATTTGTAAAATGGTGCTTTGGACATAATAAGGGGGTAACCATGTAATTTCCTTCTCAACTACTTTAAGCACAGGTCTACCAGAAAAACAAAGACAAAGTCTTTAAAATTAGCTCTGGCAATCTTAAGCAATTCAAGTCTTTCTATATGAGCTATGACATCAAAATACAGGCTTTGGAATGATTAGGCAGCAATTGTAATTTATGAGCTATTTTAGTAACTGCAGATGTTATACCCCACAAAAGATTCATAGGCTAAAGAAGAGATACTAAGCTTAAAATGCAAGCTTGGTTTAATACTTATATTGTAATTTTTTTTTTTTTTTTAATCAAGCACACCTATGACAGTATGTGCATCTAAGCCTGCCCCTTTGTAAATGCTGAGAGTGGATTTAAAGCATAGGTGGTGCAATTTCAAACTAAAAGTGAAGTAAAATTAATTACATTTTTAATGGCTAACCCCATGGCTGTAAAAAGTTGCTAAACAAGACACCCAGACACATTTCTTGGCAGCTTTTCTTTGCTATGGCCTCACCCTGGTAGGATGTACTCAGGAGATACCACACCTATCTGAAGGGGCAGAGAAAGCCACCTGCATATCTTGGTAGCAAGCCTTCATCACTGAGGATTTTTCAAAGTCTCTGACGGAGCTGTTATCAAAAGAATTAGTCTGTGGTTGTGACCCTGTGTATAACTTTCCTTTGTGTATCATAAAAAAAGAAGAGGAGGAACACATCAGTTATTTCAGTGACAACAATTCTTTTTTAGATTGTAAAATCAAAATAAAATGTCTAAACTTAAATGCTCTCAACATTAAAAACTAAGAGCATCCAATTTGCTCTTGAATACAGCTGCTTTTTAAAAATTCATCACAATGTGTTTCGGCTCTAGAAACTGTATCAAACACATGCTGCAGGTCAGGTAGTGCTTTGGTATGTTCCTTTCCTGTATGTAATTTCAGGAAAGCGTAATTTCCCACATGGAGGAAGTAGGGATCGTGTTTATCTGTACAAATAGGTGTGTCTGTGTTTTTTGTGTTTTTCATACTGTGGGTTAAAGTCCAGTGTTAACATCTTTTTTTCTCACTTACATTTTCCTAAACTTCCAGTTACCAAATGCTGTCCTGAGAGGTTCCCTGCAAGTCAGCTTTGAAATACAATTAGGAGGAATAAGTAACTTAAAAACAGGTCAAGTCAGTCACATCTACATAACAGCTGAATACAGAAGCATTTACTTACAATTACTAAGATATTATTATTTTACAACCAACTGGAAATGCTATCAAAACACAGGATCTCAGAGTATTTGAAAAG